CATTTTGTGTTTGATCGAAAGAAGGATGTTTATGCCGAAAGATCGGCAACCTGAAGGGGACTTTAGGGTTGCATGTTTAATGTTTTGTGTGAATTTGAAATTTCGAAATTGCCAGAAAAGGCGGGGAGCAGGAGCAGGGTGGTTTGGTTCAAGGAGTATTTTTGTTTCCCAAAGCCATCATCAATGAGGTATAAACTAACAATTGTTGATCCACATTAACTGCAAATTGACTGACAACCATTAAATCGGGTTTGGATACTGAGGCCACTGTCTGTCATAACAACACAGTAAACATGGTTTAGACGGACACGAGATCAAACTCTGAAGTGCAAATTGATTGCTCACATAGTGTCTTTACTAAAGCTATGTTGCAGTTAAACTTTGTCTTATTGTATTTACTAGTATATGGACTAATAAAGAGAGAAGTATCTACACATAATTTCAGTGTAATTGATTTAACCACAACTAGGTCTTACCTAACAGGGGCGGTGGGGTAGTCTAGTGGTTAAAGCGATGGCTCGTCACGCCGAAGACTCGGGTTCGAATCCCCACATGGGTACAATTTGTGAAGCCCATTTCTGGTGTCCCCGCCGTGATGATGCTGGAATATTGCTAAAAGCGGCGTAAAACCAAATTCAGTCAGTCAGTCAGTACAATGAGTAAAGCCCATTTCTGGTGTCCCCGCCGTGATATTGCTGGAATATTGCTAAAAGCGGCGTCAAACTAAACTCAGTCAGTCTTACCTAACATGATTGGGTCTCACAATACCACAATTGGGTCTATAAGGTCTAAGGTTCGGACAGATGGTTGACTGGACGCTTTCCAACCGGTGCCTCCAAAGTTAACGGGAGTATAGTTTTGTGTTGGGGCTCCATAGTCTGGTCCTTAAAGCGTTCGCTCGTCACGCCGAAGACCCGGGTTCGATTCCCCACATGGGTATAATGTGTGAAGCCCATTATCTGGTGTCCACCGCCGTGATATTGCTGGAATATTGTTAAAAGCGGCGTAAAACTAAACTCACTCACTCGCCAGTCCCTCGGCACGTTCTGGGGGTTACGGAATCCCCCAAGTGGACGCATCGTATGTGTTGTTTCGGATACAGATATACAGAAGTGTTAGTGCTTCACGAGTTGCCTCCCCTGCTCCAGTCCATAACGAGGTAACGCATTCGTTTCGTTCAGAGCACAGGGTTCGAATCACTGTTTGGACAATAATTTTAAAAAATTAAAATCTAGAACGCACGTTAAAATAGTCGGGCTGTCCGGTTTACGATCAGGCTTTTAGCACCGCGAGTGTCACCCCTTTGTGTATTTTATGTAATGAGTGTAGCGGGAGAATTTTCTGCAAAATCCATTTCTTCACCGATTTCGTTCAAATTTGAAATATAAGTTACTCATAACATATAAAAACAATATACGGTTGCAAAAATCAAGATTTTCATTTTTCAAAATTATTGTCCAAACAGCATTTTTTGTAAAATTATTGTGATTCGAACCCCTGTGGTTCGGAGATATCAGATCTGACGCTCAAAAATTAACAAACAACATAAATGTTGGGATCTTGGAAGACCTTTTCCAACACTGAAAGTTCAGTAATGTAATGAATAGATATCAACCAGTACAATTATTTCTTCAAAAGTTTCAAGAGGATCCATTGTGATCCCAAATGCGCATGCCCACGGAGATCACACACTGGGGAAACATATTTCTCCGGATTTCCCCAATCTATTCGAGTACAAGGGCGTTATCGATCATCGGAATGAAGACAACAGTTGGGTATGAACTCGGGCACCTGATACCAATTCTTCACTGGCTTCCACAGGGCGACAGGTATGTGCTGGTAATGTTCATATGCTGCGGCATGGTGTGGTGTTTAGCAGCAATCACTCACGTCATGATGACAAGGAAAGATGGTACCGTTAGACAGGACACACTTACTTCATCATGACAAGGAAAGATGGTACTGTTAGACAGGACACACTTACTTCATCATGACAAGGAAAGATGGTACCGTTAGACAGGACACACGTACTTCATCATGACAAGGAAAGATGGTACCGTTAGACAGGACACACTTACATCATGACAAGGAAAGATGGTACCATCATGACAAGGACAAGAAGATGGTAATGTTAGACAGGCAGGAAAGATGGTACACAGGACACTACTTCATCATGACAAGGAAAGATGGTACCGTTAGACAGGACACACGTACTTCATCATGACAAGGAAAGATGGTACCGTTAGACAGGACACACTTACTTCATCATGACAAGGAAAGATGGTACCGTTAGACAGGACACACGTACTTCATCATGACAAGGAAAGATGGTACCGTTAGACAGGACACACTTACTTCATCATGACAAGGAAAGATGGTACCGTTAGACAGGACACACTTACTTCATCATGACAAGGAAAGATGGTACCGTTAGACAGGACACACGTACTTCATCATGACAAGGAAAGATGGTACCGTTAGACAGGACACACTTACTTCATCATGACAAGGAAAGATGGTACGTTAGACAGGACACATACTTCATCATGACAAGGAAAGACACGGACAAGGAAAGATGGTACCGTTAGACAGGGACTGGAGTGGACACTTACATCATGACAAGGAAAGATGGTACTTCATCATGACAAGGAAAGTTGGTCACCGTTAGACAGACAGGACACACGTACTTCATCATGACAAGGAAAGATGGTACCGTTAGACAGGACACACGTACTTCATCATGACAAGGAAAGATGGTACCGTTAGACAGGACACACTTACTTCATCATGACAAGGAAAGATGGTACCGTTAGACAGGACACACGTACTTCATCATGACAAGGAAAGATGGTACCGTTAGACAGGACACACGTACTTCATCATGACAAGGAAAGATGGTACTGTTAGACAGGACACACTTACTTCATCATGACAAGGAAAGATGGTACCGTTAGACAGGACACACTTACTTCATCATGACAAGGAAAGATGGTACCGTTAGACAGGACACACGTACAAGGAAAGATGGTACCGTTAGACAGGGCACACGTACAAGGAAAGATGGTACCGTTAGACAGGACACACGTACTTCATCATGACAAGGAAAGATGGTACCGTTAGACAGGACACACGTACTTCATCATGACAAGGAAAGATGGTACCGTTAGACAGGACACACGTACTTCATCATGACAAGGAAAGATGGTACCGTTAGACAGGACACACGTACTTCATCATGACAAGGAAAGATGGTATCGTTAGGCAGACATGTACACTATTGACACTATGGGACATTTTCAGTTATCCTTTTGATTTTTTTGTCTTTTAAAAGGCCCTATGGAATCGGATCTCTGAGATACATGTAGTCCACTCTGATGTTGCCTGCATGAAAGCTTTGAATGATCTCCTCCAAGAAAACGGTGAAATACACTAGGTACTCTATTCTTTCCACTGTAGAAAATACCATTGTATTTACACCACCCTGACAGTGCAGACAAAAAACAACTTCCGTCAATTAATTTAATACAACAGTGACTCTTCTTCTCCTGGTAATGATGTGCCTTTATGTCCTTGTGTATTCACCAGCCACCGTAACATCCGTTATATTTACCTTTATGTCAGCGTAACATCCTTTATATTTACCTTTATGTCAGCGTAACATCCGTTATATTTACCTTTTGTCATTGTGTATTCACCAACCGTAACATTGTGTATTCACCAGCCACCGTAACATCCGTTATATTTACCTTTATGTCAGCGTAACATCCGTTATATTTACCGTTTATGTGTATTCATTCACCAACCATTGTGTATTCACCAACAAACGTAACATCCGTTATATTTACCTTTATGTCTTTGTGTATTCACCATGCAAGCGTAACATGCGTTATTTTGTGCTATGCCTATATTCAGCTTTTCACTACGTTTAGAGCAGTTTGGTAGCCTAGTTGTTAAAGTGTTCGCTCGTCACGCCAAAAACCCGAGTTCGATTCCCCACATGAGTACAATGTGTGAAGCCTATTTCTGGCGTCCCCCGTTGTGATATAGCTGGAACATTGCTAAAAGCAGTATAAAAACTTATTACCTCATGACTGTATCGGGAATAAGGGACAAGTCATTTCATACGTTTTTACCACAGTCATCAACGTACCCACTGCTGATCTAGTTTGTTGTGTTGACCACAAAGTCCAAATCTGACAAACTGGATTTTGTCAAGTCATAAATTCAAAACATATCTCCATACTCAAAACATATTTTTACAAAGAATTTATTTCAGATATATACATATTTAAATTTTCATAGAAAATACAGTTCGTTTTCTTCTGCTGTATCATGCTCGCATGACATAACACAAACTGAAATATTTTTTAAACTGGAGTTTAAGGTGAACTAAATTCACTCGCTCACCTTCTCCACCAAATGTACATTTCAATAGGGCAATTATTATTGAACCACATACGAATATGCTAATTTATTCTTCACATCTGAGTGATATCACTTACTGGCCAGCCAGTTACAACTTGTCACGTGATAAATAGGGAGATCACGTTCGTCTCAAGCTTAAAGTGCGTTCCAATTCTTCTGGCAGAAGAGTCTAACAATGAATTCCTAGAAAACATTTCAATTCAATTCTATATCAATTGATGATAAATTATATTATTACAGTTGAATGTCTTAAACGTATTGGTTTCATACACATAACTATTAATAATTAGCATGATATAAGTTGTTATGATATATTAAACAATATATTATCATAGAAACGAATAAGAGAACACATGTAAGAACAAGTGTTCCTTTATATATTTCCAGAATTTCACTCACAGTGCAATACATACCTTGTGAAGAAACCTGGAAAAGAATAAAGGAACACTTGTACTTTCATGTGTTCCCTTATTTTCCCCTGAGTATATATACTCATGCCAATAATGGTTGTCACCCCCTCCCACCCCAACCCCCACACACCTCACCCCCACCCCTCTCCAATTAAAAAACTTGAAGGGGGTGACAACCATTATTGTCATGAGTATATGTATACATACATAATATCATAATGAACATGTGTTTAAGTTTTAGAACAACGGTACAATACTCCAGTGACACATTGGTATCATGATGACGCAATATTTACATAATAGGAAAACATTCAGTCTGCCCGTCAGTCAGCATTAGGAGGTCCATATGGCTTCGCAATAAATACAAGATTTAGAAAACACTAACGTCCTGCACGCAATGTTAAATTCTGTGTTGGTCGCCTACCACTGAGGACATTACCACTGTGTTAGTTAAACGTGTATGTATACATTTGCATACTTTGTACAATTTCTTAATATTGGAATAAACTGAATTTCACATTTGTCCAAACAAATCACTGTTAGTTTCATACCATTAACAATAATATAGTGTGTTGCAAGTTACAACTATTACCAGGCCATCCACAATTTGCTGTTTCCTCAAATATATCTTCATGTCCAATGGTGGAGTTATAACACTGCTTACTCTCACCATACATGCGTGGACAGTTTAAACGTGTTCTGTTCTGATAGATCTCAATATCCACTAACAAATGTAAGAAACCGGTACATCTTCAGGTACACAATGGGCAGTAACACCTGTTCTGGCATCATTGTCTCACAGATATTACCTCAAAATACAAGTACAATTACAACTTCAACGTAGCAATGTCAATCACATTTAACACATCTATACAACATTGCATATTTCACGGACACAAATTCAGATGATAATAGGTCTGAATTTATTATTTGCTATTTTACAGTAATCAAACATAGGAAGTACTGAAATATGATAGATTCACACTGACGCGCCAGTATGTAAATAAACCAACACCTTTCAGCACATTCAAGGAATATCTACAGGAACAGATATATCATACGGTAACTATACAACTTCACCCAACATACATCCAAACATGCCTCAGACTTGCAGACTACTGACCCACCTATAACATGCATCTTACATCGTAAGATTCGATTAGTGGGATCAGGTGGTCAGGATCGCTGACTTGGTTGACACATGTCATCGTATCCCAATTGCATAGATCGATGCTAATGTTGTTGATCACTGGATTGTCTGGTCCAAACTGGAATATTTACTGGAATATTGCCGAGTGCGGCGTTAAACAACAAACAAGATGCAAAGTACATAATACCCAGCAGATGCTGCCTGCAAGCATCACGTTGACAGCTGTTACTGACCACGCCTCAGTGATGAATTACAACTCGGTGGAGAAAATAGAGGAATCTCTGTTTTGTTCCCCACGAGAACCTGCCCTTGTCTTGCCAACTGGCGTGTTGTCCCGGCTGATGGCTGCGACCGTGAAGGTGATCAGATACTCAGGATAAGCCTGGTCATCCTTGAAGATAGCGTAGGCATCGATTGCCTTCAAATTGTTGACGGCCGAGTCATAGGGAGTGCTTTTGCCGTCTCTGAGCGGCAGATACTTCATTTTGGGGTACCCTTCCACTGGAATCCCCGTCAGGACTTTGGCCTGGTACACGTACTTCAGGCCTCTTTGAGTCTGGGGGCGAGTATGTGTCTCTTGATGAGTAGGATGGGTCGACAGAAAAGTAGGTGCCTTGTCCAAATTTGGTGTCTGAAGAAAAATATCTTAACATAGTTAAACTGTACACATCATTATCGAAAAACTGCGACATAGTGAACAAGAGTGAGTGAGTGAATGGTTTTGGTTTGATGCTGGAGAAAGGTTCTGTCAAGACATTCTGCGGATTAAACGTGGACCCTGGCCAGATTGGGCTTTGTGTATCTACCCAAACCCATGCTGACAACAGGATCGAGGTCACATGTTCCTCTGTATTTCTGCTACAAGCGCAATGTTTCCAATGTAGGTCGTACATAACCCAGGTGGGGGCGGTGGGGTATCCCGCCGTGATAGTGATATTGCTGGAATATTGCTAAAAGCGGCGTAAAACCCAACTCACCTACTCACCCATAACCTAGGTACATCTCAATTCTACCATAAAGATACGAACCCTAATCAAATATATAGCACTATGTTTGGATGCCTCTACATTCCACCACGGATGCCATTACGTTTCCTCCCGGCCTGTTGCGTTCTGGTGGGTTCCTTCACGTTTCTATCAAGGTTTTGACACGTTTTGCGCATTCTGTCAAGACATTCTACAATGAAACGTCGACCCGTTTTACTACGACCTACTAGGTTTCTCATTTGTACCGTGACTGACGTAGAATATTTGTGAACAGTTTAAAAATCTGGTACGGCATCCACGGCAATCACGGACTGTCATGTTTGCTCATTCAGTCCCCCCACGTTGTCTCACGTCCAACCCGTTTCGTCCAAGTTTCACTACGTTTCGGGGAAACGAGGTTGCCGTGGCCGCCGGTAACATAGTGTAACCCTGGCATTGCATTAGATCAGGGTGTTCTGACGGACGTCGATCTGTGTACAGTGTGAGGAAGACAAATATACAGAGAATGCAAAGTTGATGTGACTCGTGGAACGAAATTGTTTGGATTAAAAGAGTGAGTGATAATCTCTTGAATAAAAACAAATGTCCAGCGGGACATTTCCAAAATGAACTTTGTCCGATATGCGTGGGACGTGCGAAGTTTCTCAAATCATCTCACCATCCTCTTTGTGATTCATTATAATAACATACCCCAACACGTACTGGGGTACAACACTTGTGCAGGCTTAGTAAACTTAGGGTCAGTATTATTCGTTACACTGCTAGACTCAGTATAGCAGTGTAACGAATAATACTGAGCCTACGTTTACTTAGACTGACCATTTGTGGTGTCCCCCGCAGTGATATTGCTGGAATATTGCTAGAAGCGGCGTACTCACTAAACGTACTCTCTCACTCACTTACCATTTTTGCCACTGTAACTTCTGTCAAATCCATTTTGTTTATCATTTCAACTGCCTCTACACTGGTGCCATGATAGAGTCTGCACTCATTGACCTTGTCCCGGCCGTTCTGTAGGGCGAGGGTCTCCTCGCTAGCCTTATACTTCTTATGTAAAAGCCTGTTCTGAATCCGATATACCTGAAGAAGATCACCTTGTAGCAGTCACATAATGAATATACCATATCACCATCTGATTAGTTGGATGGTGGGTTTAGGCAGGTAGGTATGGTGAGAGACTGATAGGTATGGTGAGAGACTGGTAGGTATGGTGAGAGATAGGTAGGTATGGTGAGGGACTGGTAGGTATGTTGAGAGATAGGTAGGTATGTTAGGTAGGTTGTTGAGAGAGGTAGGTATGTTGAGAGATAGGTAGGTATGGTGAGAGACTGGTAGGTATGGTGAGAGACTGGTAGGTATGTTGAGAGACAGGTAGGTATGGTGAGAGACTGATAGGTATGGTGAGAGATAGGTAGGTATGTTGAGAGATAGGTAGGTATGTTGAGAGACTGGTAGGTATGGTGAGAGACTGATAGGTATGGTGAGAGATAGGTAGGTATGTTGAGAGATAGGTAGGTATGGTGAGAGACTGGTAGGTATGGTGAGAGACTGGTAGGTATGGTGATAGACAGGTACGTATGGTGAGAGACAGGAAGGTATGGTGAGAGATAGGTAGGTATTGTGAGAGACTGGTAGGTATGGTGAGAGATAGGTAGGTATGGTGAGAGACTGGTAGGTATGGTGAGAGACTGGTAGGTATGGTGATAGACAGGTACGTATGGTGAGAGACAAGTACGTATGGTGAGAGACAGGTAGGTATGGTGAGAGATAGGTAGGTATGGTGAGAGACAGGTAGGTATGGTGAGAGATAGTGGCGAGAGACATGTAGGTATGGTGAGAGACATGTAGGTATGGTGAGACACAGGTAGGTATGGTGAGAGACAGGTAGGTATGGTGAGAGACAGGTAGGTATGGTGAGAGATAGGTACGTATGGTGAGAGACTGGTAGGTATCGTGAGAGATAGTGGCGAGAGACAGGTAGGTATGTAGGTATGGTGAGAGACAGGTAGGTATGGTGAGAGACTGGTAGGTATGGTGAGAGACAAGTACGTATGGTGAGAGACAGGTAGGTATGGTGAGAGATAGGTAGGTATGGTGAGAGACTGGTAGGTATGGTGAGAGATAGTGGTGAGAGACAGGTAGGTATGGTGAGAGACAGGTAGGTATGGTGAGAGACAGGTAGGTATGGTGAGAGACAGGTAGGTATGGTGAGAGACAGGTAGGTATGGTGAGAGATAGGTAGGTATGGTGAGAGACAGGTAGGTATGGTGAGAGATAGTGGTGAGAGACAGGTAGGTATGTAGGTATGGTGAGAGATAGGTAGGTATGGTGAGAGACAGGTACGTATGGTGAGAGATAGGTAGGTATGGTGAGAGATAGGTAGGTATGGTGAGATAGGTGGTGGTGAGAGATAGTGGTGAGAGACAGGTAGGTATGGTGAGAGATAGGTAGGTATGGTGAGAGACTGGTAGGTATGGTGAGAGATAGTGGTGAGAGACAGGTAGGTATGGTGAGAGACAGGTAGGTATGGTGAGAGACAGGTATGGTAGGTATGGTGAGACATAGTGGTGAGAGACAGGTAGGTATGGTGAGAGACAGGTAGGTATGGTGAGAGACAGGTAGGTATGGAGAGAGATAGGTATGGTGAGGAGATGGACAGGTATGGAGAGAGATAGTGGTGAGAGACAGGTAGGTATGGTGAGAGACTGGTAGGGTGAGATGTGGTGAGACATGGTGGTGATGAGGAGACAGGTAGGTATGGTGAGAGACAGGTAGGTATGGTGAGAGACAGGTAGGTATGGTGAGAGATAGGTAGGTATGGTGAGAGACAGGTAGGTATGGTGAGAGATAGGTAGGTATGGTGAGAGACAGGTAGGTATGGTGAGAGACAGGTAGGTATGGTGAGAGACAGGTAGGTATGGTGAGAGACAGGTAGGTATGGTGAGAGACAGGTAGGTATGGTGAGAGACAGGTAGGTATGGTGAGAGACAGGTAGGTATGGTGAGAGATGGTGAGAGACAGCTAGGTATGGTGCGAGACTGGTAGGTATGGTGAGAGACAGGTAGGTATGGTGAGAGACAGGTAGGTATGGTGAGAGATAGGTAGGTATGTACGTGTCTGGATAGCAATGCTTTGATAAACTGCCAATTACTACTCCGTTTGCTGACTTGGTTGACACGTGCCATCGTATCCCAAATGCGTTAATCGATGCTCATGTTGTTGATCACTGAAGTATCTGGTCCAGACTCGATTATTTACAGACCGCCGCCATATAGCTGGAATACTGTTGGAGTGCGGCGTAAAACAACACCCAGTCAACAAACTATTCCCTTTGAACGTAAATTTCGATTTATCAAATAATGCATATTGATGTTGCAGACTCACCTTTCTTACGTCGATTATTTCACTTTTAGATTTACGATTAGTTTCGAAAAGACTAGTGACTCTGTCGAGTTCTTCTCCTTCAACGGGAACGGTGTCCACGACTTCATGCGGATGAGGCGTCCACGTGTTCGGTATATCATCGTATGTGATGGACACTGAAGGTACAAATACATTCCAGCATTAAATAGCGCTCAGGGACAGGGTTCGATTCCCCACATGGGTACAATCGAAGCCCGAGCCCTGACCGTGATGTTGCTGGAATAAATAATAGACTCACTCACTCACTCACGTATCTCTCCGGGAACATCATACACCACGGTCTTCAGTGGTGGGTTCTTTGTCATAACATGTGAATATACTGACTCGGTGGTCAGTGGTCTGTCTGTCTGTCTGTCTGTCTGTTTGTCTGTCTCTCTGTTTGTTTGTCTGTCTGTCTGTCTATCTGTCCGTTTGTTTTCCTCTCTGTTTGTTTGCCTGTCTGTTTCAGTCCCGCACACCAGCTATGTGATGGCAGTCTGTGAATAATTGAATCTGGACCAGACAATCTCCTGACTGACACTATGACCACCGATGTTGATTGGTTGGTCGGCTGTTGTTTAACGCCCCACTCAGCAATATTCCAGCTATATGGCGGCGGTCTGTAAATAATCGAATCTGGACCAGAAAATCCAGTGATCAGCATCATCAGCATCGATCTACGCAATTTTGATGCGATGACGTGTCAACCAAGTCAGCGAGCCTGACCACCCGATCCCGTCAATCGCCTCTTATGACAAGCATGGTTACTGAAGACCAATTCTCACCCGGTTCTTTACGGGTCCCGATCATGAAATGAACCAAGTTACCCGATACATTTACTCGTCTTATACAACAAGCACAGAAAATATTCCACCTAGATATACACCAAAACAAGAACCATATTCAGACAAAGCAGGAGACACGAGGTGTTCGTAACAGGAGACTGCTTGTTGCTTGTATATTGCTGCTTTTACAGCTGTTGCTTGTATATCGCTGCTTTTACAGCTGTTGCTTGTATATCGCTGCTTTTACAGCTGTTGCTTGTATATCGCTGCTTTTACAGCTGTTGCTTGTATATCGCTGCTTTTACAGCTGTTGCGTGTATATCGCTGCTTTTACAGCTGCGTTTAAATCGGCAAAACATCATTAGTATCAACACTTCAATGGAAGCAATGGCAAAGCTCAGATACAGATTTCCTTTGGCGTGAAAGTCAAAAGTAGCCCACGGGATTGGGGATATCAGCCTCGCTGACACAATTACGTAGATCGATGTTCATGCAGTTGATCACTGGACTGTCTGGTCCAGACTCGATGAACTACAGACCGCCGTCACATAGCTGGAATATTGCTGAGTGTGGCGTAAAACTAAACTCACTCACTCGCTCGCTCACTCAAAATAATTGTGAAAATTATACAAGACCACTGAAAATCATTTTTGACACCAGGTGTACGAAAAAAAGTGTAAACATTTCACTCACTTCTTCTGTGTAAACGTATCTCTCGTTTATCTGGCAGCAAACGTATCTTGACCACGTCCTTGACCTTCAGCCGGTAATCCTTGCCCGACTGGCTTGTAAACAACGTGTATCTTCGGTTGTGTTGAAAAGCATCCTCGACATATCCACTGATTGAGTCAATTTCAAGATAGTCGTCAGTCATTCGTTCGCCAGAGCTCCATCTGGCGCTGTGACATGTTCTGAGGAACGCCATGACGTCATGCCTCGCTCTGGCTATGTCTTCGGCCATGCCGTACAGCAACAACTTGCTGCCGTTGATCTTTACCCCAACCATGTGTTTCTTGGCCAAATCTTGAAGTTCGTCCAACTTTAAACAATCAACTCGGAAATTACGAAAGTGAATTATCCCATGAACATATCAGCCCCAAATAAACCAATAACATAACCAATTACTAATTAAAATGTATTATATTAAGAAATGTGATTACAACACTGAGCAAGGCACCCACCTTATCACTCGGCAGCGTAGTGACCAGGTTGTTGTCGACAACCTCGTCACTAGGTACAGAGGCAGAGGCAAAGTTTTGGATTTCTTTAACAAGATCCTGCGCCCTGGATTCGTCGGTAGATGTTACACAGAGATCATATGCTTGTTCCTGTCCCATGACTGTAAAGACATATATTAAAGAGATTGTTTGTCAAGGGTGTGAATGTTCGCACTCATCTCAGTTACACAATCTGGCCACTCTAGTCTCAGCCACACAATCTGGACGCTCTAGTCTCAGCCACACAATCTGGCTACTCTAGTCTCAGCCACACAATCTGGCTACTCTAGTCTCAGCCACACAATCTGGCCACTCTAGTCTCAGCCACACAATCTAGTCTCTAGTCTCAGCCACACAATCTGGCTACTCTAGTCTCAGCCACACAATCTGACCGCTCTAGTCTCAGCCACACAATCTGGCCACTCTAGTCTCAGCCACACAATCTGGCCACTCTAGTCTCAGCCACACAATCTGGCTGCTCTAGTCTCAGCCACACAATCTACTCAGTCTCACACAATCTGGCCACTCTAGTCTCAGCCACACAATCTGGCCACTCTAGTCTCAGCCACACAATCAGCCACTCTAGTCTCAGCCACACAATCTGGCTACTCTAGTCTCAGCCACACAATCTGGCTACTCTAGTCTCAGCCACACAATCTGGCCGCTCTAGTCTCAGCCACACAATCTGGCTACTCTAGTCTCAGCCACACAATCTGACCACTCTAGTCTCAGCCACACAATCTGGCTACTCTAGTCTCAGCCACACAATCTTCTGGCTATCTCTAGTCTCAGCCACACAATCTGGACACTCTAGTCTCAGCCACACAATCTGGCCACTCTAGTCTCAGCCACACAATCTGGCCACTCTAGTCTCAGCCACACAATCTGGCCAAGTCTCAGCCACACAATCCGGCTACTCTCTCAGCCACACAATCTGGCCACTCTAGACTAAGCCACACAATCTGGCCACTCTAGTCTCAGCTTCACAATCTGGCCGCTCTAGTCTCAGCCACACATCTGGCCACTCTAGTCTCAGCCACACAATCCAGCCACTCTAGTCTCAGCCACACAATCTCAGGCCACTCTAGTCTCAGCCACACAATCCGGCTACTCTAGTCTCAGCCACACAATCTGGGCTCTAGTCTCAGTCTCAGCCACACAATCTGGCCACTCTAGTCTCAGCCACACAATCTGGCCTCTCTGGTCTCAGCCACACACAATCTGGCCTCTCTAGTCTCAGCCACACAATCTGGCCTCTCTAGTCTCAGCCACACAATCTGGCCTCTCTAGTCTCAGCCACTCTAGCCGCTCTAGTCTCAGCCACACAATCTGGCCACTCTAGTCTCAGCCACACAATCTCTCTAGTCTCAGCCACACCGCTCTAGTCTCAGCCACACAATCTGGCCACTCTAGTCTCAGCCACACAATCTGGCCGCTCTAGTCTCAGCCACACAATCTGGCCGCTCTAGTCTCAGCCACACAATCTGGCCACTCTAGTCTCAGCCACACAATCTGGCCTCTCTAGTCTCAGCCACACAATCTGGCCTCTCTAGTCTCAGCCACACAATCTGGCCACTCTAGTCTCAGCCACACAATCTGGTCTCTAGTCTCAGCCACACAATCTGGCCACTCTAGTCTCAGCCACACAATCTGGCCACTCTAGTCTCAGCCACACAATCTGGCCACTCTAGTCTCAGCCACACAATCTGGCCACTCTAGTCTCAGCCACACAATCTGGCCGCTCTAGTCTCAGCCACACAATCTGGCCACTCTAGTCTCAGCCACACAATCTGGCCGCTCTAGTCTCAGCCACACAATCTGGCCACTCTAGTCTCAGCCACACAATCTGGCTACTCTAGTCTCAGCCACACAATCTGGCCATTCTAGTCTTGGCCACTCTAGTCTCAGCCACACAATCTGGCCACTCTAGTCTCAGCCACACAACCTGGCCCTCTAGTCTTTCCACGAAAGAATAGTCCGGTTGGGGTAAGATTTGTTCTTTGGGTGAATTTAGATGTGAAATAAACATGTATCTAAATATGCCAGATATTGAACCAATATATTGCGAAAGTCATTTCTTTTACCTGAAATCATCGTTCACCAGAAAACCAGATTCTACATATTTACAACCCTGTAGGTACCGGATGAGACTAGGTTTCGTGGAGGTTTTGCTCAACCAGGTGTCCAAGTTCATGTTATTTGATTGTATGTCAAAACCGTGCGACATGACATTGTTTATAAACAAAATCACTGGTTTATTGCCCAGACACGATTAATATACGACGAGAATACTTCTGACTGTGGTGTCAAACAAAACATTATTCATAAGGAATGAAAGATAATCACCTTCACGACGTTTAGTCTCTCTCTTCTGTATGTCCTTTAATGTGTGGACGATCCGATCGAATTCTCCTTCATGAAAGACTATTAGCCTTACATCTTTGACGTGGTTCTTCTTGTAGTAGCCCGCGTGGTATTGTTGTATGGCATCATACAGAAACTCGCACTGTTGTTCAGGAGATATACCTGAACCTAACCAGAAAATTAAAGGTTGAGTAACAGAAATAAAATCGCCAGCACGAGAAGCATTGTTTGTGTGATTGGTGGGAGTCAAAGGCAAACAGTGATGCCAAATTTAGGAATACATCACTGATGCTGTTGTCTTCGCGACAACGTGGTAAGAACATCATGTCTTACCGGTTGTCCAGAACTCGTTCTGAGAGGGCCCCGGTTCACAAAGCTATTCTGGCGCTACGACTGTCGTAAGTCTATGTTACAGTATAGGAGGTACGACAGTCGTAGCGCTCCGATATCTTTGTGAAGCGGTGCCCTGATAACACAAAGGTTCAGACTATCGACTTTTGACAAAAAGTGCATATGTACCAAAAACACGAGAATGCGAGATCGCGAGAACGTGAGATTTAGGACAATTCTCGCGTTCTCGCGATCTCACATTCTCGCACTTTTGGGATTTTTAGCTTGTTTCCAAAGGTCGTGATCGGGAGAATGCGAGATCGCGAGAATGTCCCTTACTGTATTCCATACCCAGAACATCCCGGCATTGCTACACTGCACAGAATGAAACTTCCGATAACTGACATACACATACTGAGAGTAAAACTTGTCTTTTACTGACAGATGTCGCACGTTTATTTGTTGTTTAACGATTCATACCTGCCTAATACTGGCAGTTCCAATATACAAATAATACATACATATACACATAAAAAAATTAATATTCATATAGCGCTAGTTTCAGGCATGTGCCACTCAGAAGCGCTGGAAAGACATTGTTCAAGTACTGTAGGCAGCACTAAAGAAATGCGTGTTCAGTTGTGACGTGAATGTTGGTTGATACATACCCACACCAAAACAAGGGAAAGCTAAAGACGCTGGTTTGAATTTTTCCCAAGTTTCTCTCAAGCATGACAGCAATGCTCCCACCCAATCCGTTCCGTTCTTCCTCCTTGGCGAAAAGATGTACTATACAAGTCCATGGTTTACAGGCCTTGCAAAAAGATAATCCTGATCTTTGAAGTGTTGAACCTATCAAACGGGAAAAGCAAGCACTAGTGAGAAGAAGTTCAGTTCATCTTTGTCAGCTCATACGGAAATAGTAATGACATTGTTTCTCTGTCATATATGTTGTGGACGATAGTGTACGGGGGTGTTCTCTCAGTGTCTGTGTCTAGTGTTAGACAGGTGAGTTTTCACTAAGAGTGTAACTTGTGTTATAGAACATGAGTCTGTTTCCTAGGATTGTATGTTGTGTCTGTTGATGGGAGTGTTTAGTGTGACTGGTGTGTCTGTTGATGGGAGTGTTTAGTGTGACACTTGTGTCTGTTGATGGGAGTGTTTAGTGTGACTGTTGTGTCTGTTGATGTTGTGACGTGGGCGTGTTTAGTGTGACTGTTGTGTCTGTTGTTGAACGTGGGAGTGTTTAGTGTGACTGTTGTGTCTGTTGATGGACGTGGGCGTGTTTAGTGTGACTGGTGTGTCTGTTGATGGGAGTGTTTAGTGTGACTGGTGTGTCTGTTGATGGGAGTGTTTAGTGTGACTGGTGTGTCTGTTGATGGGAGTGTTCAGTGTGACTGTTGTGTCTGTTGATGGGAGTGTTCAGTGTGACTGGTGTGTCTGTTGATGGGAGTGTTTAGTGTGACTGTTGTGTCTGTTGATGGACGTGGGCGTGTTTAGTGTGACTGTTGTGTCTGTTGATGGACGTGGGAGTGTTTAGTGTGACTGTTGTGTCTGTTGATGGGAGTGTTTAGTGTGACTGTTGTGTCTGTTGATGGGAGTGTTTAGTGTGACTGGTGTGTCTGTTGATGTCTGTTGATGGGAGTGTTTAGTGTGACTGTTGTGTCTGTTGATGGACGTGGAGTGTTTAGTGTGACTGTTGTGTCTGTTGATGACGTGTGAGTGTTTAGTGTGACTGTTGTGTCTGTTGATGGGAGTGTTTAGTGTGACTGTCTGTGTCTGTGTGATGGACTTGATGGGAGTGTTTAGTGTGACTGTGTGTGTCTGTTGATGGGAGTGTTCAGTGTGACTGGTGTTGTCTGTTGATGGACAGTGTGACTGTTGTGTCTGTTGATGGGAGTGTTCAGTGTGACTGTTGTGTCTGTTGATGGGAGTGTTCAGTGTGACTGTTGTGTCTGTTGATGGGAGTGTTTAGTGTGACTGTTGTGTCTGTTGATGGGAGTGTTTAGTGTGACTGTTGTGTCTGTTGATGGGAGTGTTTAGTGTGACTGTTGTGTCTGTTGATGGGAGTGTTTAGTGTGACTGTTGTGTCTGTTGATGGACGTGGGCGTGTTTAGTGTGACTGTTGTGTCTGTTGATGGACGTGGGCGTGTTTAGTGTGACTGTTGTGTCTGTTGATGGATGGGCGTGTTTAGTGTGACTGTTGTGTCTGTTTGGATGGGAGTGTTTAGTGTGACTGTTGTGTCTGTTGATGGGCGTGTTTAGTGTGACTGTTGTGTCTGTTGATGGTCTGTTTAGTGTGACCGTTGTTGTGTCTGTTTATTGGCCATGGAGTGTTTAGTGTGACTGTTGTATCTGTTGATGGACGTGGGCGTGTTTAGTGTGACTGTTGTGTCTGTTGATGGACGTGGGCGTGTTTAGTGTGACTGTTGTGTCTGTTGATGGACGTGGGAGTGTTTAGTGTGACTGTTGTGTCTGTTGATGGACGTGGGCGGGTTTAGTGTGACTGCTGTGTCTCTTGATGGGCGTGTTTAGTGTGACTGTTGTGTCTGTTGATGGAGTGTTTAGTGTGACTGTTGTGTCTGTTGATGGATGGGAGTGTTTAGTGTGACTGTTGTGTCTGTTGTTGGACGTGGGCGTGTTTAGTGTGACTGTTGTGTCTGTTGTTGGACGTGGGAGTGTTTAGTGTGACTGTTTGTGTCTCTGTTGATGGGTGGGCGTGTTTAGTGTGACTGTTGTGTCTGTTGTTGGACGTGGGCGTGTTTAGTGTGACTGTTGTGTCTGTTGTTGTCGTTGGGAGCGTGTTTAGTGTGACTGTTGTGTCTGTTGATGAGCGTGTTTAGTGTGACTGTTGTGTCTGTTGTTGGACGTGGGAGTGTTTAGTGTGACTGTTGTGTCTGTTGTTGGACGTGGGCGTGTTTAGTGTGACTGTTCTGTCTGTTGTTGGACATGGGAGTGTTTAGTGTGACTGTTGTTTCTGTTGTTGGACGTGGGCGTGTTTAGTGTGACTGTTCTGTCTGTTGTTGGGCGTGTTTAGTGTGACTGTTCTGTCTGTTGTTGGACGTAGGAGTGTTTAGTGTGACTGTTGTGTCTGTTGTTGGACATGGGTGTTGTCCCTAAATTGGCATGTGTGTTGTTAGTTGCTTGATCGTGTTTAGATTTAAACTCAGAGCTCATTGTCATGATGACAGGAGAGTATTTGTCGAACGTAGCCTCCCTCTTTCATCAATTCAGTATGTCAGTTTATACCACAAACCTTGCACATACTTATCTCCCAATTCATATGGAACTCACTATGTTTTGCAAAGTCCGCCTCGAATTTTTCTCCAAACCGTTCTACCAGTTTTGTTGAAAGTGTACCTGAAACATGATAAATCAGCTGATTGGTATGAATGTGTATGGGTTTGGTGTGTGCGAGGGGCGGGGTTGTATGTATGGGTTTGGTGTGTGCGAGGGCGGGGTTGTGTATGAATGTGTATGGGTTTGGTGTGTGCGAGGGCGAGGGGCGGGGTTGTATGAATGTGTATGGGTTTTGTGTGTATGGGTTTGGTGTGTGCGAGGGCGGGTTGTATGAATGTGTATGGGTTTGGTGTGTGCGAGGGGCGGGGTTGTATGAATGTGTATGGGTTTGGTGTGTGCGAGGGGCGGGGTTGTATGAATGTGTATGGGTTGGTGTGTGCGAGGGGCGGGGGGTTGCGATGTGGACGGGGTTTTGGTTGTCTGAGGGACGGGGACCTGGTTGAATTACAGACAATGTTCCACTACTTGTTTCGCTTCCGATCCCCTAACGATCGACATATAATCTTTATTCCGAGTTTGGAGATATGTTCGAGCAGTTCCTCTGCTGCGGCAACAGCTAGTGCCGACATGAAGTTTTAATCTTAAGCCACAACACGTGTTTATGACGACACACTGCTAAGGGTCTCGATCATGAAAGCAATGGAACAATTGGACAAACTAGGTTAATTAGCGCGAGAAGGAAATAGATATGCTCAATTTGCTTTACTGAAACTGGTTGTATTACGAGGATACGATAGATATATGTGTATCTACACTATTACTCGGGACAACGCTCATACCGTCAACCTTCGGTTTGCGTCACAGACATGATGATTGCAGGGCGCGGTGTCATAGTGGGAATATTGTGTGTAAAATCACATCCACTGACTACGAAAGTAAAGACATATCGTGACTGAAGATAAGCAGATGTATTTTCATATCATGCATGAGGATGATGCAAATTAATTATTGTACGAGCATAGGAAAGAGGGAGGGATGCAGCGTGGAGCGTTGTTGATGGTTTGGTCAGTTTCCAGTAACGGTATATGTATACGTTTATACCGGTAGGACAAGCTTACATGTTCCATGAACACCTGGTGTCATCACTGACTTTCAGCTATTGGGGCGGAGGGGTAGCCTAGTGGTTAAAGCGTTCGCTCGTCACGCCGGAGACCCAGGTTCGATTCCCCACATGGGCACAATGTGTGAAGCCCATTTCTGGTGTCCTCCGTCGTGATATTGCTGGAACATTGCTAAAAGCGGCGTAAAACTAAAGTCATTCACTTTCAGCTATTCTGCCCTTATGTCTAAAATACCTATATCTGAGGGTAGACAATACCAGTTGTTCCTTTCCATCGACGTTTTACGGTTTTATTGTTGTAATCTAGCAGTACAACACGGGATACTTTCCATCCACGGAATTACCACAATTGCGTTTCTTGTTTTGTAGAGTATATGTACCATAGATAAAGAAAGAGGTTTTACCAGTGAGCGACTGATCCTCTGATATACTGTTGACAATGGCATCTGTCTGTTCCTCCAGAATGTCCCCTCTTCTTACAGTCAGCCTGATGTCTCCGATGTGAAACGCTGCAGCAAAGTCACATGGCATACCTTAATTCATGTTGTCATGTTGAAATAGAATTTTGAAAATAGAATATCGAAGGTATGGTGGCAATATCAAGCACAATCATTTCAAAATGTTTTGTATCACAAATTGGATCAAACAAATAACAGCAATTGAACAATTCTGTTTGATGTGAGACTTACTAAAATATAATACACATACCTTCCCGTCTTGTTTGAAAAATCTGTGGAAGATAGAAAGGAATAAGGTCACAGTCTACGATGTTTTTAGGGACATTGAGTGGGTAAGCTGTTGTGTTGTTTTAACAGTATTACAGTAGATCCGTGAAGATCCGGGTTAGAATTGGTCTTCAGCAACCAACGCTTGTCGTAAAAGGCTACTAAGGGGATCAGGTGGTCAGGTTCGCTGACTTGGCTGACACCTGTCATCGTATCCCAGTTTCAAAGATCAGTGATCATGATTCAGGATGTCAATCACTGGATTGTCTGGTCCAGACGCAATTATTTACAAACCACCGTCATTTCTAGTTTGCAGATTGGTGAGCAAACACACAAACAAATGTTCCAGTGTTTGTGGCGTGTGAGTTGGAACACAACATGGACTGGTGCAGCACGAGACGACACCTGGTGTCTAGGTGTAACTCAGCACGTACATGCATGATACAATGGGATACGTGTGTAGGTAGGGTGTCCTTGTGGACTGTTCCTTATTGTCTAAATACTCTATCTGTTATTTCCATATTAAGCGCATCAATAAGGGAGTCAAGCATCTCACAAACTTTACAAAACTGTAGTAAGTGTGCATTAAGGTATGAGAGCCTACAGTATAAAATAACGGGCAAAAGAAAGTATAGGTTTCAAATTGTTATAAATTGAACGTTTTTGAGAAAACCAAATGTGAGTGATTATATAGACATGACTACATACGTTCCCAAAGTTTTATGCACATCACAGAATAGCATCTTGTGGTGCTTGAGATCTAAAACGCGGGAAAAGTGCGAATAGTGGTTAAGTTCAATTTCATGAAATGCACGTGCAGAAACGTGGTTTAAATGGGGTTGCCGAATGCTGCAGTATCACAGCAGGTGAAAACACACAACAGGAATGTCACGGTTGACCCAGGAAGAAAGAGAGAGAGCCATCGCAATGGCAGAAATGGGAGCTTCCCAAGCTCATATTGCCCGAACGATCCGCTGCACTTTGACAGTGACAGAGTAATTACATAGTGTCATTTAGAAAGTGGTCAAATGTAACATATGTTATATTTGGGATTATACTTTCTTTGTAAAGTACAAATTCTAGTACTTTTTGAGTTGAGCCCCATCCGCGATTCGAACTCACCCTTAGAGTCAGGCACCTAATCGCCAGCACACAAAGTCAGCCGCCTAACCCGCTCAGCTACCGCGACTTCCACAAACATGGAAGTCGGAGAACTGGTAGTCTAGACTGCGGGCTTTGTGTAGCCCTCTGATAAGCCGTGCCAATTAACACTTATCAGAGTACACCAAGAAAGAGTAATCCCAAATATAACACATGTTACACAGGCAGAGTGGTCGGACCCAAGACAGATCCCGGAATGGAAAACCACGTGTCACAAACGCCGCAAGGAGACCGCTACATCCGGACGATTCACCTGCAACCGTTTTGTGACAGCAACAGCGGAAACGGCACTGGGTCATGGTATCAGTCGACGTACAGTGTCGAGAAGATTGCGTGCAGCAACAGCGGAAACGGCACTGGGTCATGGTATCAGTCGACGTACAGTGTCGAGAAGATTGCGTGCAGCAGGAATTCGGGCATACCGGCCCTTCCGTGGCATGGCTTTAACCCCACAACATCGGCGTAATCGACTGCTGTGCGCACGACAAGTTCACAGGTGGCAAGTACGGAATTGGCGACGAGTCCTATTCACAGACGAAAGCCGCTTCAGCCTGTACCGTAATGATGGCAGACAACCTGTGTACCGACGTCGTGGTGAACGTTTAGCACGTCCATGAATCCAGGAAGTTCATCCATACGGTAGTGGTGATGTGATGGTATGGGGCGGTGTCTGTGGTGACACAAAAACTCCATGGTGCCGATAAAAGGACATCTGAACGCATAATCAGTACATTCAACAAGTTCTGCAGCCAGTTGTCTTGCCTTTCTTGCAAACTCAGCCACAAGGTGTCATATTCCAGCATGATAACGCGAGGTCCCACACAGCAAGAGCAACAATCAACGTCTTGCAGCAAATCAACGTTCATGTTCTTCCGTGGCCTGCCTGTTCTCCGGACATGAATTCCATCGAGCACTTATGGCATCACTTGAAAGGCAAATCAGACTCTGTATAACCATTCCACATGACCGTCAGGAACTGGGACGGGCCCTAAGACTGACTGATTGAGTATGATTTTACGCCGTTTTTAGCAATATTCCAGCAATATAACGGCGGGGACCCCAGAAATGGGATTCACAAATTCCCCCATATGGGGAATCGAACCCGGGCCTTCAGCGTGACGAGCGAACACTTTAACCACTAGGCTACTCCACCTCCCCTAAGAGAGGAATGGAACCGCATACCTGCTGACGTCATCCGACGTTTGACCATGTCGACGAGGAGACGTGTCCGGGCCTGTATTGACGTGGCAGGAGGTCACACGCGTTATTAACAATGGTAGAGCTTCATGGTTGTGAACAGTGTTACCAACAGTGACTATAGAGTACAAATGGATTCATCAAATTATACCCCTGGTATGTTTCAATCAAAGTTATGACTAATGTTGAAAAAATCTAATGGTGTTTCTTTGTGTTGATTATTGTGTTTTGATGACAATTCACTTCACCAAGATATCGTTTTTCGTGATACTGACAGAGGATCTACTTTCTTTTGCCCGCTAGTTTATGTAGTAATATGAAACGAGTGTACAATACATACATACATACATACATACATACATACATATACATACATACATACATACATACATACATACATACATACATACAACAAACATGGAAGAGAGAGAGAGGAGGGAGGAAGGGAAGGAGAGAGGGGAGGGAGGGAGATAGATAGGGCGAAAGAGAGGGAGAGGGAGGGAGGGAAGGAGAGGAGAGAGGGAGGGAGGAGGAGAGGGACAGGGGAGAGGGAGGGAGGAGAGAGGGAGGGGAGGAGGGAGGGAGAAAAGAGAGAGGGAGGGAGGGAGAGAAGAGAGAGGAGAGAGAGGGAGGAGGAGGAGAAGAGAGGCAGGGAGAGAGAGGGAGGGAGGGAGGAAGAGAAATAGAGGGAGAGGGAGAGAGAGTAAGAGTCTTTACAAAAGCGCTCCCATGCAGAGCTATTGTGTACCTGACTTATATCCTGGGAGTGAGGAGGTAAGATGACATGTACATCAACTTGATGTGTCCGTATATACTGCTTCAGAGTGTCCATCATTAGGTCCACCACCAGTTCACGTGGAAATCCAATATTGCCGCAGCCCAGAGCCGGAACTGCAATTGACGATGGAACCGGCTCTATTCTTGATATTCTTTCCAGGCACTCTTTGAGTATTGATTGGTATTTCTGAAATGTAAACAAATAATACATTGAGAATGATAAAAGGTAAGTACCTTACTCTCACTGGATTTATTCAGGGAAATTACGAGAATGTCTGATGTCTGATGTCTGAATGTTTAAATGCCTGAATGTCTGATGTCTGATGTCTGAATGTCTGATGTCTGATGTCTGAATGTCTGATATCTGATGTCTGAATGTCTGATGTCTGAATGTCTGATGTCTGATGTCTGATGTCTGATGTCTGAATGTCTGATGTCTGAATGTCTGATGTCTGATGTCTGATGTCTGATGTCTGATGTCTGATGTCTGAATGTCTGATGTCTGATATCTGATGTCTGATGTCTGAAAGTCTTTCTTTACCAACTGTTCGTTGACGATCAATTCTATTGGCAGTTTCTGTCCAAGTATTTTGTTCTGAATTGTTTCAACACAGAATATCATGTATTAAGTAACGGTTTTATTTTTGTTGCACCCCCCACCCCATGAGAAAAAGGAAATTGAATCGATTGGTCCGGACAGGTAACTCGGAAGACATCGCGCCCGTTGGCTTGAATCGCTTGTCATTATATCCACCCCTAATATCAGCTCATAATATCAATCAGAGTTCGATTATTTACAATCATCAAACATCACAGCAAAACCAATATATCAACCAAATACATATTCACCTCTTTTCTATCTGTTTCCTGCCTTTTGTCCCAGTGTGGGAGGCAAACGAAGAGTACATTGTTGCAGTTCAGATGATAGGGTGGCACCACCGTCACACTGGTCGTCTTCATTTCCTCAACCTTGAATTTATCTTCGCAACGCTTCTGAAGTTCGGGTCCCGCAGCTTCGGACAGAGCCTTGACCACCACACCAGTACTCAGGTCCAGGTTTCTGGCGGCTGCACAGACTATCACATCCACCTTGAACTGAAGGAGATGGGATGAAATTGGTCTTTCGTTCTAATTTATATAGAATATTTCGCGTACATAGAAAACTGTATATATGCGCGCGTGTGAGTCTGGTTGTGCTAGTATGGACAAGTGCTGTTCTGGCCATGAGATACCATGTCTCAGTCGATCTGTGGGCGATGAGGTAGCCTAGAGGATATAGCGTTCGCTTAAAACCCGGGTTCGAATTCCCACACCGGTACTACTTGGATCCTATTTTGGTTACCCCTCTGTGCTATAGCTGGAGTAATGCTAAAAAAGGCATAAAACTAAACTCACTCACTCATTCAGGCTAGCAGTGACCATGATACCATGATGTTCATGCTCTCCTCCCCCACCCCCTCCCCAATACCTAGCGCTGTTCATTCAATCAAATCCATCAATCGATCGAGCTCTATCGATCGATCAATGGTGTAGTCCCTCTGTTTCATCAAACGTCGTTACATTCAACACTTACCCCAATATCCTCCAGCCTGCCCTCCTTGATGGAAATTTTCCCTTGTTCTGGAAAACAGGAACATAATTTAGGAGAAAAATGCAATGAGCTTCTTTAGGGTCATATCAGGTTTTCTCTCGCTTATGATTCAAGAAACCTTACTGAAATTATTATGCTGAATTTTCAACAAAACATTTGAGCATTTCAAATGTACCTTATCTTTTCTACATATTACATACAAGACCCGTGAAGATCCTTCAGTAACCCATACTTGTCGTAAGAGGCCACTAACGGGATCGGGTGGTCAGGCTCGCTGACTTACTTGACACATGTCATCGGTTCCCAAGTACGCAGATCGATACTCATGATGTTGATCACTGGGTTGTCTGGTCCAGACTCGAATATTCACAGACCGCCGCCATATAGCTGGAATATTGCCGAGTGCCGCGTAAAACAAAATTCACTCACTATTACATTCGCGTTCCAGCTTAGTGCTGTGTAGTTTCAGTGTTCAACAAATGTACAAGTGCGTGCCAACGTATTTGATTACGTGTAGCTTGCTTAAAAGCGTGTCATCGTAATCTGTTTGCATGCATCGTCTCCATAATATCAATCATTGGTTTGCTTCATTCCCTAAATATCTGCCTGCCGCAGTGATGAGCATGCACGAAAACACGTGACAAGGTGCCTTTAAACAACACACACTAATATGCCGTTTTACCTTCGCTGACATGACACGATGCCACTGACGCATTTTGTCCTTGTGCTGCTTCGTCCAAAAGTTCTTGAAACCGATCGGACCTCATAATATTTTCAATGCCAGGTATTTGGAGTTTACACCTTTCGCTGTACAAGACTGATTCATCTCCATGGCCGTTGGGTTTCTCCTGACTTACGCCACCATTATCCTTAATAAAGAGAAGAAGCGATTATATAGAGAAGTAATAATATAGAGAAGAAGTGATACCATAGAGAAATGATTATAAAGAGAGGAAGTGATAGTTTAGAGAAGTGATTATAAACAGAGGGAGTGATAGTATAGAGAAGAAGTGATTATATAGAGAAGAAATGATAATATAGAGAAAGCATTATATAGATAAGTGATTATATAGAGAAGAAGTGATACTATAGGGAAATTACAAAATAGAGGAAGTGATAGTATAGAGAAATGATTATAAAGAGAGGAAGTGATAGTATAGAGAAGTGATTATAAACAGAGGGAGTGATAGTATAGAGAAGAAGCGATTATATAGAGAAGAAATGATAATATAGAGAAAGCATTATATAGATAAGTGATTTTATAGAGAAGAAGTGATACTATAGGGAAATTACAAAATAGAGGAAGTGATAGTATAGAGAAATGATTATAAAGAGAGGGAGTGATAGTATAGAGAGAAGTGATTATATAAGAAACATAGAGAGTATAGATAATAGTATAGAGAAGAAGTGATTATATAGAGAAAAAGATTACAAAATGAGGAAGTGATAGTATAGAGAAATGATTATAAAGAGAGGAAGTGATAGTATAGAGAAGTGATTATAAACAGAGGGAGTGATAGTATAGAGAAGAAGTGATTATATAGAGAAGAAATGATAATATAGAGCAAAGCATTGTATAGATAAGTGATTATATAGAGAAGAAGTGATACTATAGAGAAATGATTACAAAATTGAGGAAGTGATAGTATAGAGAAATGATTATAAAGAGAGGAAGTGATAGTATAGAGAAGAAGTGATAGTATAGATGAATGATTATAAAGAGAGGAAGTGATAGTATAGAGAAGAGGTGATAGTATAGAGAAAAGATTATAAAGAGAGGAAGTGATAGTATAGAGAAGTGATTATAAACAGAGGGAGTGATAGTATAGAGAAGAAGTGATTATATAGAGAAGAAATGATAATATAGAGAAAGCATTGTATAGATAAGTGATTATATAGAGAAGAAGTGATACTATAGAGAAATGATTACAAAATTGAGGAAGTGATAGTATAGAGAGAAGTGATTACAAAATTGATTATAAAAGAGGAAGTGATAGTATAGAGAAGAAGTGATATAGAGAGAGAAGAACTGATAATATAGAGAAATGATTATAAAGAGAGGAAGTGATAGTATAGAGAAGAACTGATAATATAGAGAAATGATTATAAAGAGAGGAAGTGATAGTATAGAGAAGGAGTGATTATATAGAGAAGAAGTGATAATATAGAGAAATGATTATAAAGAGAGGAAGTGATAGTATAGAGAAGAAGTGATTATATAGAGAAGAAGTGATAATACAGAGAAATGATTGTAAAGAGAGGAAGTGATAGTATAGAGAAGAATTGATTATATAGAGAAGAAGTGATAATATAGAGAAATGATTATAAAGAGAGGAAGTGATAGTATAGAGAAGAAGTGATTATATAGAGAAGACTGACTGACTGACTGAGTTTAGTTTTACGCCGCTTTTAGCAATATTCCAGCAATATCACGGCGGGGGACACCAGAAATGATATAGAGAAGAAGTGATAATATAGAGAAATGATTATAAAGAGAAGTGATAGTATAGAGAAGAAGAGATCATATAGAGAAATGATTATATAGAGAAGTGATAGTACAGAGAAGAAGTGATTATATAGAGAAGAAGAGATAATATAGAGAAATGATTATATACAGAAGTGATAGTATAGAGAAGAAGTGATTTTATAGAGAAGACTGACTGACTGACTGAGTTTAGTTTTACGCCGCTTTTAGCAATATTCCAGCAATATCACGGCGGGGGACACCAGAAATGATATAGAGAAGAAGTGATAATATAGAGAAATGATAATATAGAGAAGTGATAGTATAGAGAAGAAGAGATCATATTGAGAAATGATTATATAGAGAAGTGATAGTACAGAGAAGAAGAGATAATATAGAGAAGAAGTAATAATATAGAGAAATGGTTATATAGAGAAGTGATAGTATAGAGAAGAAGAGATAATATAGAGAAATGATTATATAGAGAAGTGATAGTATAGAGAAGAAGAGGTCATATAGAGAAATGATTATATAGAGAAGAAGTGATAGTATAGAGAAGAAGAGATAATATAGAGAAGAAGTGATAATATAGAGAAAGCATTATATAGAAAAGTGATTATATAGAGAAGAAGTGATAATATAGAGAAATGGTTATATAGAGAAGTGATAGTATAGAGAAGAAGTGATAATATAGAGAAATGATTATATAGAGAAGAAGTGATAAAGTTTTGTAACGGAGCAAAGCTGGTTCGTTGGCAAGCTGGATACTTGGATTTGGTAGATGGGTCAGTAGATGGATTCAAGATAGAAAGCATTATATCTGTATCATTCCTCACATACTGGTGGCATTATATATCGACACTTCTCTTTGATTTAGTTATTTGTAATTTCGAAATATCGATTATTTTCAAGTTATTTCGAATTTATTTTGACCGGAAACGTTTTTCCTATTTCTTCGATTATTTTCCCGCAATTACGTTTATTTTCTTAATAGTTCAAATACATTGGTACACTTGTCATGGTCTCCGACAGTGTTAGTTTTACTATCAACCACTTGTCTGGAGTTTTATTATTAACATGCCGTTGTAATACAACTGTAATGTAGAGCATGCGGGGTTAAACAGCAAAAGCAATAATAGACAAATGAAAAGTGTGGTATATTACCTGACATTCTCCTCCGTCTCCAAACCCACCTGCGCCAAAAGATATAATGATTTTTTTATTCCTATGAAAGAGAAAACAACTTCATTCTGTATGACTAACTAAAGTTATATCAGTATTTTGCAAACTGTTCTCCATTAAGCAGTACAAATGAAAACACACCGGCACTTTAGACTAACTCAGCTAACTGCATTCAGCGTAGCGATGTATCTGTGGATTTTTCTTAAAAGACTCACCCACTCACTCTTAAGGTGGTGGTGGAATTGGGTTTAACGTCGTGCTTGAGAATATTTCGCTTATATGACGACGTGCATGCGTGTGTATGTGTATGTGCAGCTGCTTGTACTAGCCCAGACGGAAGCTGGTTTTATAGTGCTAGCCCACTGAGATACCATGCCGCAGTGAAGTATGAATACCCAACCCAGACACATTATACTGACTCCGAGCCGACCAGTCCTTGCTGTACCCATGAATGCCGAGCGCCAGGCAGGGACCAACAAGTACCATATTTTAACGTCTTAGTCATTCAGAGGTATATAATCACGGGGTCGGGATCGAACCCGCGACCTTCCGCTCTCCGGGCGGACGCTCTAGCCACTACACCACGGAGGCGGTCCACTCTTAAGGAGTGTTCGCTGTAACCTATTGCCATTAAGAGTGTTCACATTTCATAGAGTTCACACATCTTGTGGGAGCTGTGGGGTGGCCTAGTGGTTAAAGCGGCCGCTTGTCACGCCGAAGACCCGGGCTCGATTTTCCCACATGGGTACTATGTTTGAAACCCATTTCAGGTGTCCCCCGCCGTGATTTTACTGGAACACTGCTAAAAGCGACGTAAAACTTGACTCACTGGTTTTAGGCCACTGTTAGCAAAATAAGGGGTAGGGTAGGCCTTCACAATTATACTCAGGAGGAGAATCGAACCCAGACTCAAGGATGACGAGCGAACGGCCTAAACGTATATATTTGCAGACTGTGAAATAGTTGTACGTCGGATGGATGTTTAGCGTATTAGGTACTTGATTTAACTGTCACTGTTCTGTCCTACTCTCAACAGTCAGGAAATACAATAACGATTAATGAGCGAGTTTATCTTTCTGTCAAAAACTTGATATTTCAAGTATTATCGAAGCAACGTGAAGTTAACGCCAAGACGCCATTAAGGATTGTAACAAATACATGCATATACAAACACTGAAGAAAACTAATTTTAACCCATGTGTTACCTAAAAGAAGATACATTATCTTGTCATGTTCGCTGGATCCTGCTGTACATGAACTAAAAACTTAAAGTTCTTTCTGACCCGTCCATGTCTACGTTGCACAATATAACGCACGCACGCACGCACGCATACATACACACGCACCAAACACAACACACACAGAGGCGAAAACCACACACACACAAAAAAACCACACGTATGCATGCACAGAGACAGACGCAGACCACACACACATGCACGCATTACACACACACAGACGTAGACCATACAGACACGCACACACACACGCACACAGACACACACGCACACAGGAAGAGAGAATCCCAACCGAACATACTATCAGCAGTCCTTTCCTTTCTCGACTGTTTCACGGCATCAACGATTTGCATCACGGGCTGGTATTTGTCGGCATGTACTGAGATGCGAGTACACATTTGATTGTCGTCCACTTCCGTACAATCTCTAAAGTTTTCAAGTCTGCGACGGAGTGTCACACCAATTTCCGAAGCATCAACACCATTTTCCGAAGCATCAACCTCTTCACTGACAATGGCCGAGTCTATGACCACCCGAACTCGATCAAACTCTCCACGCTTGCATCGGACGTTGATCTTGTCGTTGCAAGTTTCGTACACTGCCTGAAGACCTTTCTGTAACATTTTGCCTCCAATATATCTCCGCGTTACGTCCGTTTGGAGAAGTCTGACACGCGATGGGTCCTTCACTGTCATTTCATACAGGTCAGTCTCCTCCAGGATGTTGTTAATCAAGGTTCCGGTGTCCGACACAGATTTCCTTGACCCCACCACTTGTATCTGATTCCCGTCTATGCACACCCTCACTTCGGGGTGGATGTCTTTCAGCTGGCCTTCAATGCTGACTCTTTTCAGAAAGCTGATCCTCGTCGGATCCATGAAGGGAAACGTCTGCTCAGTTTTGTCCTCCATATTTGTACTTCCGTGCTGCAAGAAACAAACAAACCTGAATGACTACAAGGTTCGGTGGTTTGTGCGTGACTAAACGTCGTTCTCAGATATTCGCAATATATTACCACGGATTCAAGATTCTCAAAACCAGACGATCCAAATCGATAAAAACGCTTCTGGTTCTGGAAAACAAGATGGCCCTACAAATAAACACCCTCTATATTTTCGACTTAGAACCTTTAATGAAAGAATGTCAGTGAACGTATTGCCTAGATGGTTATGCTGTAACACACTGTATACATACAGCTTCCTGTTCGTGCTACAGCCCTACTTGACAAGGGTATTAGAATCTGTATCGAAGTGTTGCACTTAGGAAATATAAGAAGTTGTTAGCAATAACATTTGTCATTATGGCAGACATCCTTCACTGAAAATCCTCTAACCTTTTTTACGATTCGATCCAAACAACTCAACACAGATATAGACAGAAAACTGACTAAGCTTCACAAACTGCCAACTGCAGAGATGTTGATGTCCATAGTATTATCAGCATCCAACATGGCTGTCCTCAGACATACTGTAACACCTCACACAACACTATTCTCCTAACACATCTAATTGTTGGCATATACCTGCCACACACTTCAAAGCAACGAAGAACAGCCACTGCAATGACAAGTCACCGAGCCCTAGAACAAGATCCGTTGCAAGCCGAACCTCGCTCTGTCCTTAATACTTCATACACAACCACAGAAGCGATCAGAAGACAATACACATTAATAAACAGAAATATGCATTAATATAGGCGCAACTGTACCAGAAATTATTTCTGAACAAATGCAAAGGCATTGCCAGATAGATAACACGAGACTGATGAACGACAGAAAAGTTGTTCCTGTGGCACTATTACAAGATCTAAGACGTAATATCCATGGTGACTAGTCCCTGCTACTCTTCTAAGGCCGCCTAGGCAATAACTGATTCAAGATCACCAAGCACTAGCCATGAGCATTATGTCTCCAAGGGACATTTCGGAAGGTGTAGAATTAATGAACACAGGGTTTAGTTGTGGATTCACTGAACACAATAAACCAACCGCCAAACCACACAGTAAAACCGGAAACAAATCATATTAAGCCAGACGCCAGTCAGCATATCCACTGGGCCAAAGCTCTGTCTCTAAACCTAAACAACGCAGAATCCCATCAAAGCCCTGTCTCTAAATCTAAACAACGCAGAAGCCCAACAAAGCCCTGTCTCTAAACCTAAACAACGCAGAAGCCCCACAAAGACCAACATGTGCCCTGCACCTTAGTCCACTTTACTCTCTGCTCACTCACTAACACCAGACATAAATGATTGAAAGAAAATATAACCTTGGCCTTACTCTATACTCATTCGCTAATAAATGATTAAAAAAAGATATAACCTTGGCCTCAGTTAAACCACGACACCACATTTTCTTACTGAAAAAAATCTAAACATTTTTATAACAACAAAAGCTGAAATCAACATGTGAAATCTTTATACCTGAAATTAAATGACCAAATTAACCAAACAAGTTATAGTAAAAGCTCCTGACGCTGATATGCTGATACTTACAGGAGTCGTGTACACAGACGTTATCTCTCATTACAGTCCTCATCACATCCCTCGCAGTAGTGAAGGTTTGTTCTCCTTTATGGAGGTAGCATATCAGCCAGGGCGATAGGACACCTCACCACGTGACCTACACAGTCACGTTTTGACGACGGTGTGCATGCTGATATAGATTCAAATGTATAGAGATCAGTGAGTGAGTGAGTGCATCCAGTCTGTCATTTGGACCCGTGAAGATACGGGGTAGAATCTGTGTACACTAACTAGGGCTGTAATCGAACTATCGATGGATTGCAATTGTTGTGTCTCCGATGGCAATTAATCGATGGTAGAAACGAAAAACTATCGATGCATCGATAGTATGTGTGACTATCGATAGTTTTAGTAAGTGACTTCCGTTGATAAATGCGCAGCGCAAAATATTTATTAAATATCTATATTGTTTAGTATTTCTTTATATTTTGGGTGCAGACTTGTAGCTTCATTTAGTATATTTTTTAACTGTTTTTTTTATCTGGGTTTTAAGTTTCTTGTTAGTTATTAAAATAGAATGAAATTATTTCAACTTGTTTTTATTTCATATTAACTATGTGTGTAAATTATATACTCTTCAAAAAAGTAACGCAAAACCGAAAGTTTCCTTGTAACTTTAGATATGTGGAAACTTTGTGTTAGGAATGCTGAATATGTTGTCTTATGGAGCTTGCAAAATGCATTTCAATCGCAAGAATCGTTTGGAAATCGATGACTTTGTACACAGACTGGTAACTGAAAAATCGCAAAAACACAACCGCTGTCGTTTTGAGCCAATTACCCAAAGGCATGGTATGCACGTGCAAAAGGCACAACAAGCACTAAAAAGTGTAGGGTTCTCGACTTAGCTTCACTTCGGTCAAAACTCTCAGCACAGATTTCATAATGACAAGACTGAAGGAAGTTCGGAGGAACAACGCCATCGGATGAGTGCAAACAGACGAGTCCAGATCAGAGGTTGCGAGGTTTTTTATCTCTCCCCTAACACCATATTGAAGCTATGGAACCGCTACCAGCAGCAGGGATCAACCGTGACCTTCCGACATCCCAAGACCCCAAGACCACTACATCCGGGTGCGCCACGACGACAACTGCTGCCTCCACTGCATCCTCAGTACCGGGACTGCACAGGATCTCCGACCAGGCTCTCCGCAACCGTCTACGAGAGGCAGGGTTGCGTCCTGTTAGGGCGTGATTTGGTCCAGGCAGCATCGTCAGCTACGACTGCAATGGTGTCGAGCGCACAGGGTATGACCTCAGGAACGATGGAGACACGTATGGTTCAGCGATGAATCCCGATAATGCTCTGCAGACAGGATGGAAGGGCCCTTGTCTACCGCCGGAGAGGCGAACGCTTCACAGCCAATTGTATACAGGAAGGGGACAGATTTGGTGGAGAGAGTGTCATGTTGTGGGGAACCATCTCATACACCCGCAGATCGAAATTGGTGCTTGTCCAAGGCAATCTGACGGCCGCTCGATATATCGCGCAGATTCTCCGTGCTTACGTGCATCGCCTTGTCGACTGCCAGAGGGAGCTGTTCCAGCAGGACATCGCCAGACCTCACACAGCACGTGCTACAGTGGACTACCAATAACAACATTAATGTCTTCCCCTGGCCCTCCAGATCCCCGGATCTGAACCCAGCTGAACATCAACTGGGATCAGATCGATAACCGTGTACGTCGACGTTGTAATCCGCCATTGACCCTCAACAAATGTTTAACATGCTGCAGGAGGAATGGAGAAGGATTCCACAACGAAACTTCCAACAACTGATCTGTGCCAAGGGGGTGTCGTGCAGTTCTAGCAGTAAGAGGCGGTCATACGAGGTACTAACGTCAACGCCACATCGTGGACAGCAGTGATGACCCTGATAACTGTCATTCTGGTGAAATGTGCGCGGGATACCAATGTATTGCTCTACAAAATGTCAGAGTTGTACCGTTGATTTTCGTTGATTTACATGTGACTGAATAAGACCAAATTTTTCAATGCTATTCTGCTTAAGCGTTTCCCTTTTTGAAGAGTGTATAATGGAAAGAACGTGTATATAAACATTTGATTTGTACAATTAAATCGGAGACTGATTCAGAACGTATACAAGAGCATACGTATATACATAGACCTTACATCTAATATTGTGTTGTTGTTGTTGTTGTTAACACGTACTAATTTTTATTAGAAACACCTATAAAGCAATATGGACAAATAGTTCATATTCCAGTAACTTAACACATAAATATATTTTCGTCTCAATCTCGAAGACTGGAGGTAGCGCTCTGCTAACAAACGGCATGTGTATAGGCTTTGGTAGCAGAAAGAAAACCCCATTGTGGCAGCGTATTACTTCTGGTCTTCTAGCCATACTGCGTGACTCGATAATTACCTTTTATGTTCATAGGGCGGTAGACTGACTGAATTTGGTTTTACGCCGCTTTTAGCAATAGTGCAGCAACATCACGGCGGGGGACACAAGAAATGGGATTCACACGCCCATGTGGTAGGGCGGTAGAGCACCCGTGAGCACCCTTGAGCACCCTAGAGCACCCTAGAGGTTAAAGTGTTCGCTCGTGTTCTCAAAGAGTTGGCTGTTATATTGATGTTTTTTTGTGAACCTACATGTCAGCTGTAAAGGCAGATATCAGCATAGAACGCTTGGAACTTTGTCCAGGGACATATTGGAAATACCGTTTTTCAGTTCTATAAATATTGTTTTCGTGATGACAAGCTTGTGGTATCCAACTGGAGAGATTACGTTGTGATAGTTATGGTGAACTTATATCATGCATATTATCACTCGTTATCGCAGTGTAACATTCAGTCGCCAGTATGGCGGGTCACTGTGAACAATCAGTATCTATGTACTGAACCAAAAGTTTAATCTTCTCTATACAGTATATGGAGGATGTGATATGTCTGCAACTGGTCACATTCTGTATACACACCTGTATACACACCTGTATACACACCAGTATACACACCTGTATACACACCTGTATACACACCAGTATACACACCTGTATACACACCAGTATACACACCTGTATACACACCAGTATGCACACCTGTATGCACACCTGTATACACACCAGTATACACACCAGTAAACACACCTGTATACACACCTGTATGCACACCTGTATACACACCAGTATACACACCTGTACACACCAGTATACACACCTGTATACACACCAGTATACACACCTGTATACACACCAGTATACACACCTGTATACACACCAGTATACACACCTGTATACACACCAGTATACACACCTGTATACACACCTGTATACACACCAGTATACACACCTGTATACACACCTGTATACACACCTGTATACACACCTGTATACACACTGTATACACACCAGTATCCACACCTGTATGCACACCAGTATGCACACCTGTATGCACACCTGTATGCACACCAGTATGCACACCTGTATGCACACCAGTATGCACACCTGTATGCACGCCTGTATGCACACCTGTATACACACCTGTATACACACCTGTATGCACACCAGTATACACACCTGTATACACACCTGTATACACACCAGTATACACACCTGTATACACCAGTATACACACCTGTATGCACACCTGTATACACACCCGTATACACACCCGTTTACACACCGGTATACACACCTGTATACACACCTGTAAACACACCAGTATACACTACTGTTTACACATCAGTATACACACCTGTATACACACCTGAATACACCAGTATACACACCTGTATGCACACCTGTATACACACCTGTATGCACACCAGTATACACACCAGTATACACACCTGTATACACCAGTATACACACCTGTATGCACACCTGTATACACACGCGTATACACTACTGTTTACACACCAGTATACACACCTGTATACACACCTGTATTCACCAGTATACACACCTGTATGCACACCTGTATACACACCTGTATACACACCTGTATGCACACCTGTATACACACCTGTATACACCTGTATACACCTGTATACACACCTGTATACACACCTGTATACACACCTGTATACACACCAGTATACACACCTGTATACACACCTGTATACACACCAGTATACACACCAGTATACACCTGTATGCACACCTGTATACACACCTGTATACACACCAGTATACACACCAGTATACACACCTGTATACACACCTGTAAACACACCTGTATACACTACTGTATACACACCAGTATACACACCTGTATACACACCTGTATACACACCTGTATACAGGCCAATAGTCTTAAATTCAAGCATACAAAGATGTGAAATGGGTAACATTCGCAAATATGTATTTCACTGTCAGTGGACATTGATAAGTATCAGTTAAGAATACGAAAACTCGCTGAGGAACTAATTTCCCATTGAAATACAGTTGACAAACAAGTGAAGAATAAACTCGGGACAGCATATGTATGTGATTATACACCTGACCATGTACCATCTCTCCACACAATACATGGCCATACCGCACAGATCGAACCTGGAATCTATTTCAATCTGTTTAAGTGTAGAATCACTATTGTGTTGAAATATCATGCAGGACACCCGGTGTTATAACTGGTTATCAGTGATCAATACGTCACATCACTGTCGAATGTAATCTTGTAGCTATTCGAAACTGGTTATTCCAGGCGTTGATACTGTAGATCTACACATAAGCACATTAGTGGTATACGTTTTGGGTGCTTACAACAAAATTGCATGGCATGTTTGGAGTGGGAAAGTTTATCTATGATATACATATATATAAGTGCGTGATATAGATATATATACATTTATATCCGCTATATTACCGCTAAATGTTACACCGCTTGGAGTTTATGTTAAGAGAGAATTTGAGATTCGATGCCAGGCCCACATGATCCTGTTTCATCAAAGGGACGAAACTCTTCCCGGCGGAAAACGTCCCAATATACAAATAATATATCTTTAGCCCGTACACTTCGGAGTATACACATAAGAATTTCAATGTGTCATCAGCAAACACATAAAGTTGAAAAGGAATTTCCTCACGGTCATCATGTAAAGATATTTCATACAAAACACCTGATTCATATGGTGTTAAATTTCCCACGTTACAGCAGGCGTTAATTACACATATCTCGACTGACAGCCAATGCTCAGTTCTCAGTTTTATGTATATTACAGTTCACTATAAAGCTGTACAATAGGATGGAGCTATGTCAATATTGACCCAGTAAGTGTTACCGGTGCGATGGTCTCGGGGACGGTACGGCCATGGAGTAATATTACCACATACCTCGGGACCAGACTCTCTTTTGAGCTGGAAATTGAAGTCATGCACAAACACGACATATTATTACGTGGAGCTTTCCACACACTACACGGGTTTGTTTGCTGTAAGTTACTCTGTCCCCAAGCATACATTTAAATATAGACTCTTGGTGTCGGAGACGATGACAACACAAACACCGCAGTAGCCATAGGAGGCTTGTATTCTGCATTTATGTTGCATATAATCGTATAAGACACAGGTTGGATCGATGGATATTTGTATCGATAACACAGGTGAGTTTGTTATGAAGTTTATTATTGAGTGAGTGAGTGAGTTTAGGTTTACGTGGCACTCAGCAATATTCCAGCTAAACACCAAAACACAGTTAACACCAAAACACAGAAAAGCATACACCCAGGCGTAATGACAAAACATTTATGAAACAATATCAGTGAAAGTCAGTGGTACCGGCTGTCCGAGAAAAGTGGGGTAGCCTAGTGGTTAAAGCGTTCGCTCGTCACGCCGAAGACCCGGGTTCGATTCCCCACATGGGTACAATGTGTGAAGCCCATTTCTGGTGTCCCCCGCCGTGATATTGATGGAATAATGCTAAAAGCGGCGTAAAACGTAACTCACTCCGCGAAAAGTGTACTCATGTCTCATTTTACTGAGAGCCCGAGTTGCTTTAAAGTACTAAACGGCTGTAGCCTAATGCTGCACACCAGTTCTCTTGCTATACGACAAAAGCCTGTGAACAATCGATTCTTGACGAGACAATTTAACGATTGGCTAGCACGTATACTGATTTTGTTGAAGCTAAAAACCATTTATTTTATTTTATTAACATGTTCTGCTACATACGCGTGCAAAGATTCTGATACACGGTTTTATGTGTGTGGGGGTTTAAGGTGTGTGTGTGTGTGGGGGGGGGGGTTAATGCTTAAGACACGTCAGAGATACAAATGTATGATCATAGAATTCGAAACAGCGAAATATAGTGTTTGGGGCCTTTGCCCTGGGAATAATGACCTGGAGATACCACTGTATGTACCTGTCCTACATATTGACTAGTGCAGGTATCTCTATCTCAAATCGACGTCATTGATTACTTAAGCATAAATTAGTTTCATACCGTGGATGCTATTTGCTGTCACACGTCATCGTTGTTGGGAATTCATGCGATAACACCATGAGATAACACCATCAGATGACACTAGATAAAACTGGATGAACGATGCGTTGGGAAATATATTGTATTCAACCATGATTTAAATACTGTAGAAACAGCAACTCATTATTTTGTAACCGATAATCCTATTAGTATTTTAAAATACCTATCGAGTATGATTGAGAAATCATGAGATGAAAATGAGAATCAGTTCTGGGTTTTTTTTCTCGATCAGAGGTGGTTAACTATGATTTAAGCTTTCCGATTAACAAACCAGTTTCGGAATGTCTTCACATTCATGGTGGAGCACGACGTAGTACATTGATCTGACTCAACAATACTGGTGAATAGATTCATCCCACGTGTGTGCGTGCGTGTGTGCGTGCGTGCGTGCGTGTGTGTGTGTGCGCGCCACTAAATCCATACGGGGCGGTGGGTTAGCCTACTGGTTAAATCGTTCGCTCCTCACGTCGAAGACCCGGGTTCGATTCCCCACATGTATACAATGTGTGAAGCGCGTTCCCAGTGTCCCCCGCTGTGATATTGCTGGAATATTGCTAAACGCGGCGTTGTGGACAGGACATTGAGTTAGTGAGTAAATCTCGGATATATCAGTATCAAGAAACAAGACTGCCTGGTCAAGAAATATCCGTGTCTGAATCTAACGCCGTTGATAATGACATGAGATTCAACTTGACAATTTCATCCAAAATGCCATTGCTTTCTTCTAAAATATGTGTCAGACTCAAAATGGAGAATCTGACACAACAGAGGTGACGGCAGACATTAGAAGCAATCGCCACCATCCGAGAATGATGACACACAAGTCACCGACCACCAGATTCCTGTAATCATTTAGAACATATGATATTAAGAAAAATATATTCTGCTTGACTGGGTTGACTTGTCGCTCAGTAAATCCGATCTCTTTACGTGAATGTGCATCTCATTACTAATTTAGAGCAATTGGTCTATATCAAAAATTGTATCAATGTATGTATGTGACAAATTGCCTGTTTTAAATTTGGTGATATGATGCTTTTGTAAATTTGAAAAATATTTTAATGATGAAATGTGTTTATCGAAAAATTCCTTTCAACTTTGTACTTAATGGGTTTTTGTGTATGAGTAGACTTGGTCTAGTTGGCTGAGGAAATGCTGCTGCGATATAAATTATTAACTCACTCACCCCGTATTAAGAAATATCAAATAAAAGGGTCCATTCTTACCGACATATACATGTGTTCTATTTCAGACCACGTTTCCCCTGAATGTAAACTCATGATACAACAACCAGTTCATTCCAAGCTGATGGCAACCGGAAGTAGAACCATCCACGTGAAGGAGACGACAGATGAAATTGAGTCCTTTCTTCTGTCTCGACTGATCTCATCCGAAGACCACGAGTCCTCCTCTGGCTGTGCAACCTGCCGTGCTGATTGTCACAATGGTTGTCACAAGTGGCACAACCGAAATGGCAGACTTCAGGCTGCTCAAACCAACACTGTAGTAACAGCAAGGCTGTATCCAGACTTACAGCTGTTGAGCAGAAACGGTTCGTGTACATATACTAGGCACAAAAAATAAAGGAACCCCTTGACTTTGTGAAGCATGTATAATTTAATCAGCACAACCGTACGGTAAGTATGTCAGATATACTTAATAACGAGCGTGTCCACCATGAGCAGCAATACATGCACGACACCTTGCAGGCATGCTGGACACCAACCGCTGAATTGTCGTCCTTGGAAACACGTGCCACTCTTGGTGCAGTGCTCTACCTAACACATCAAGATATGCTGGTGTAGGCTCACTGAGACGCACTCGACGCACTAACACATCCCACAGATGTTTGATAGGGGATAGATCTGGTGTTTTAGCCGGCCAGGGTAAAGTTGTAACACCTTGTTGTTGCAAGAAGTTCACGGCAACACGAGCTCTGTGAAGACGTGCATTATCGTCCTGAAACACAAAACTTCGACCTGCCTTGTGAGCCATTGGAACCACGTGTGGCCGTAAGATCTCGTCCATATACCGCTGGCCTGTCAAATTACCCCGTACAAGAATCAAATCAGTCCTCCTATTGAAAGAAATTCCTCCTCAGACCATGATAGAGCCGCCTCCATAAGATTCGTGTTCCTGTACCGTGGGTCTCCCATAACGCTCTCCTCGGCGTCTCCACACACGCAATCGTCAATCCCTGAATCGCAAACAAAAGCGGGATTCATCACTTAACATCACATGTCGCCATTGCCGGTTCCCCCACCTCTGACGTTACTGAGCCCACCGATAACAAAGACGTCTGTGGTTAGCTGTCCTCGTCACGCCTTTGAATGGACGTCTTAACATAAGACCTCTGCTACGGAGCCTGTTTCGTACAGTAGTTCGAAATCCGTGTTCCTGTGGCTCTGAAGAATTCCATCTTCAAATCCGGGGCTGTGACAAATCGATTCCTCAGAGCTATAGCTCTCAGGATGTTGCCTTGTCTGGGGGTGGTTTTAGGGCGTCTTCCTCGACCAGTCCTCATTTTAACGCCCCCTGCTCGACGGTAAAGGTTGGTGAGACGGGCAATAACGCTTTTGGACTTCCTGAAGAACCGGGCAACACTACTCTGAGATTGCCCACCCTCTATCATGCCAATGGCCTGCCATTTCTGTGCGTTTGTCAGGTACTGTCGAGGTGGCATTTTCACAAGAGATAGTGGGACACGCTTTCTGTCAGTTTTATAGGCTAGAATGCACGTGTGGTGCATGATGCACATGTATCATGTAAAGGTAACATGGTGCTGACTGTCCTGTCAGCCGTTATTGATTTCCGATCTGGGTTCGAATGCAATCAGCTTGCAACTTTTATGTAGCATTGTTTCAACTATAAATTCCACTTGGGGTTCCCTTATTTTTTGTGCCTAGTATATTATGAATAATGTGATGCCTTGTATGAACGGTATTTCAGTATATAATGGTGATATGTTGATATATATATATATTACGGGAAGAGTGTGACGAAATGGAGTATAATAGCCAATATAGTATGAAGTGGATACAAAATGTTTTTCCGCGTGTGTGAATTCTGGCATATTACCAGCATTCCAGATAAACTTTGTTAGACTCAAGTACATATAAAGGTTTTCTCTTGACCATCTTGTTCTATCATCTTGAATTAAGTTCGATTTGACGGAGTAGACAAATATCCACCGTATGGCAATATCAAGTGTTTTAACAAAACTTTCCCCATCAGGAAATATACCAGTTGAACCACGACAGGTGCCAACGGCTCCCCTTATCATTCTACGGAAACATCTTCACTGTTATGCGGCCATCAGCTACCGCCGCGTCTGCCGATGCCAGTGCTTGATGACAGGATGAAGCCAGAGACCCATCTGGGAACCTACCCACTCACAGGGCCTGGTCTCAGGGACATACTGAAGTCGCCAGAGGTTCAACAGTTTCTTCAGAAGGTCCAGCTGGAGCACCAATGTCACGTCAGTATGGAGGAGGTTGTGAGAGGTTTGTGTCGTCGGTTCACTGGGGGTATCTTACGACGAGGAGGTTGTGAGAGGTTTGTGTCGGTTCACTGGGGGTATCTTATGACGAGGAGGTTGTGAGAGGTGTGTGTCAGTTCACTTGGGGTATCTTATGACGAGGAGGTTGTGAGAGGTGTGTGTCAGTTCACTTGGGGTATCTTATGACGTTCACAGGAGGTTGTGAGAGGTGTGTGTCGGTTCACAGGTGGTATCTTATGACGGAGGAGGTTGTGAGAGGTGTGTGTCAGTTCACTTGGGGTATCTTATGACGAGGAGGTTGTGAGAGGTGTGTGTCAGTTCACAGGGGGTATCTTATGACGAGGAGGTTGTGAGAGGTGTGTGTCAGTTCACTTGGGGTATCTTATGACGAGGAGGTTGTGAGAGGTGTGTGTCGGTTCACTTGGGGTATCTTATGACGAGGAGGTTGTTAGAGAGGTGTGTGTCGGTTCACAGAAATGGGGTATCTTATACGACGAGGAGGTTGTGAGAGGTGTGTGTCGGTTCACTTGGGGTATCTTATGACGAGGAGGTTGTGAGAGGTGTGTGTCGGTTCACTGGGGGTATTTTGTGAATATTGAACACCATTAATCCGGACGATAGAGTTGTCTAATTGTCCATTTATGAATGCTTGTATCCAATTACGGTTTCAATACTCACAGTACTCCATGTGTCTCCATGTCTGTGTTTCCTAGGGTATTCAGGTTTGCAGTATTCCAGGCTGTTTTGTTAGTTGTAAGCACGCCATGCTTGGGGTATTCATGTCGTCAGTGTTGAATGCCTGTCTCCCGTGGAATATTCAGCTTGTCAGAATGACATGCATCCGAAGTGACAATGTTGAATACTGCAGAGTAAAACACTTCCTCGTGATCAACGTGTGCATGTAAAAGCAATAACAAGGCATGTCAGTATCCATGATCAGGGCCTCCTGTCACAAATCACTATGGTGATCGTAAGTCACTAAGGTAACCTTAGTGCAATGTTAAAGAATGGGAGTTAAGGTTAACCTTAGTAAAGGTATCTTCGTGAAAGGAGCCCCTGATTGGTAACATTGGATCTTCTAAAAGACCGCTTTACAATATAACGTGAATCATTAATTGAAAGATAGCACAATGTGTAGACATTTTATTTGAAGCTATTTGTTTTCGCAGGTAAACACAAATTCAAGGTGTATTTGTTGAGCGGGAACATCATCCACACAAAGGTATTGATTCAACGATGGGAGGAGGTGGATATACATACAGATGTGGATAAAAGCTAAGCCATATTCTTCTCAAAGTGCATCCCTTTGGTTTTAATTTGGTTTCATGACAAGATACATATATTTCCTTTTACAAAGTGACAGTACTGGCATAGTCGTTCAGTTAACATATGTTTTAGTTTCAACAACATCAGTAAATGCGCGTTCCTGTGCCAGGATGTTCTGGTCCATCACTTGATTATCTGGTACATATTTATATCCTAGACCACATAGCGTGAACTGATCCATAACACATGGTATTCATCCTCAACAGAATCAGTACACTAATTAAAAGGTATTATTTCTAATTCTGGGCTTTTCGATTGTCTGTGTGCAATGATATTAAAACCATGTAAATTGTAATTCACTTGAATTTATGGATAACAACATTAGTCTTATAGCTTGAATCCATACCGAAACGTCGCATCATATATGGTTATCCATGAACAATCTTACTTTCTTATATACCAACTTCTAAAGTTCAAACTCACGTAAATGCACCTGAATTTAGTCATTGTTAATTGAAGCACATTACACAAGTTCCCATTGCAGCAACCTTGAACAGTATATGTCATAATGCCATGAATTACCACTAGACAATAAAGGTAAAGAACTCCACCTAAAGAATACTGAGAATACTAAAATTCCCACATATTCATAGTAGTAAATAATGAATACTCATGATCCAGCGAATTGTCCATATTGTAACGACAGAGGTATCATTGAGCATTATTTTCTTGAATGCGTTTCTAATTACTCATCATTCATCCTTAGATATTTCTACCACAAAAGAATACGTTCCTTAGTTTATTACCTTCATTAGTTGATTACCGTAATGCGAATGTGAAATATTAAGAATATAAATGTCAAACACTTCAATTGCAGCCAATTGTGCAGAAACCTGTTTTCAAACAACTAGAAAAGTTAACTTCATGCAATGAAGAACTAGGGAAATATCAGATATCATATATCTATTAAGATGTGTTCCTATCTCACTGCATACCCACCTCGTCAACTATCATTTAAAGGCGGATGTCCTGTTCACATCGGTGTCTCCCGATCTTGACCTCAACAAAGACCCTATCACCCGTGTCGTCTCAGCGATGGCGGGGCCTGACCTACAAACAAGTCTAGATAGGCGGTACCCGCGCGGGGCTCGAGTCGGCGATGTTGTAGAGGGGGGTTCCGGGACGTCTACATTGTTCTCTGCTCCTGCATGCCTGTCTGTCTCGCTTTGACGGAGATTATGACGCAGACTGTATATCTGTGAGAACGTGTTTTATCATTATATTTTGCACAGTTTTCATTTTTCATTTATTGGCATGAGCTTCTCAGTTACTGTTGAAATAATGATTGCAACCTGTCTGTGGTGTCCATTTCCAGTCCATTAGGACAGCCATAGGTATGGAGCGACGTATACGTGCGTGTGTTTGTTTGTGGATGAATTTGATCAGATAAAAACAGATTCAAAATGTCGAAGACTGGATGAATAGCATAATTTACAGAGGCCCAGATAAGCTGCGTATCCGGGTAAAATACGCATAGAAATTACGCAGTGAAAAAATAATTGTTGCGTACCAATTACGCATTTAAAATGTTATATACGCAAAAGGGTTAAAACAAATGCGTACGGAATATATTTATAAAAATCGCTTGCGTAATGAAAAAGACATCGATTGCTATCAAGTTGTACTGTTAGTATAGGACAAGTGTTGTATTGTCAGTATAGGATGAGTGTTTTTTTATGAAATCATTTCCATCATATTTAAGTTGGTTTTGATTAGGTATGACATAAGGCAGAACATACCTGCTTAGTAAACTTACTCAATGACATAATACTTAGGTGAGTAAAATGACTGAAATACGCACATATTTGAAAGCAGTGGGTAACGGAAAATGAAATACCCACTCAACATTCATAATACCCACTCCAAAAAAATACAGTGGGTACAGTAACCACATGAGCTAAATCTTATCTGGAGGTCTGATTTATATTGATGAAATGTATTCACATTTGTATATATGTATGGTCCTCAACTGTCAACTGCTCAAAGATAGCACGATATTGGTATGAGGAATGCTGGCATGTCATCGAGGGCTTTTGCAAGAGTTGTTGGTTAAGAGTAAGAGCCCCTGGAGAGTATATAGAATCACAAAAAGTCATCCGTTCCAGTGGCGTGTTTGTCCAAGAGAACGGCCCGAAATCGTCTAAACTCCCCGTTGTATAGAGCAAGAGGATCGTGTGCCCAAATCCTGAAAATGGCTTTACTTGTTAACGCCATACGACCAGCACTACAAAGTGAATCAATTCTTTGCCATGTTTGCTTCTTTGAATAAACTACACGTTTTCGTTCTCTTTGCGTTTAGCCGATCTGCCATCTAATTACTCCTTGAGGGTCAACTTATCCAGACAGTAAGTTCAACTGAGGTTTGGACAGGTTCCTTGCTGTGGTAAATGGTAACACATTGATAAATTGATGAGAAATACGGGTGTTGCGATACATGTTCCATGTGTATATATATCACAGAAGAACAGGTAAATGAAAATCATTGTTGCCTTTAACAGACACTAAGAACAGTTCTCCTGAAGGGTCTTCAGATGACATTACAGCGCGGCTTCAAGTCTATAGCCCTTCCAGCCGTAGGTATCGGTCAGCTGGGTTACCCACCTTCCACGCTGGCGAAGATACTGATGGGGGTGTACAGGGAGATTGCCTCTGACACAGGCTCAGATCTTCAGGTGTTTGTCTTTGTTGAGCCGCCCAAACACCGCCACTTCCAGGTAACCAAGTCAACAGTATTGAAGTGATCCTCTGACAGTCAGATTCAAATAAGGAAATGTTTGCTAGAGATACAAAATTCCCGAAAGGTCAAAATTGCAAACTTAACCTGAAGGCATGTAGTTACAGTTATAGATAGGTGTCCCACAGTACGTTGCACACATTACTCAAAGTTCCGTGGCTGATACGTGAAGGTAGGTACTTGCAGTTATTGATAAGGATCAATATCCTTATTGCAGATTACGCTCTTTACTTGCAGGCAATTAAAGAAAGGTTGCAAGACATGGACCGCATATTCATCGGACGTGAAGGTAAATGCATTTTTTCTCACAAGTCTCAGAATGTATATCTGGATTCTCTACTTAAAGTAGGAAGACGTAGACATATCGTAGTGCATGCACGTTTGTTCAAATCCATAACTAAGGATTGGCAAGCTTTAGAATGATAGCGGATAGCCTGCACATCAACGTCTTTGAGACACGCCCCCACCACGTATGGTGGATTCTCTGACTTACTTCACTTATACTGATGAAAACAGATGGTTTTAACACATTAAACTGTGAATATGTAAATATTAATCCAGTCAAGTCCAGTTCCTCCCTATGATAATGTTTTGCACGGACTATAAGTAGTCCCGAGCAACCACTACATGTTGGGACCCGTGAACATCCGGGTTAGAACTTGTCTTTATGGCAACCCATGCTTGTCGTAAAAGGCGAATCGGACTGACAGGTTTACTGACGTGGTTGGTGCATGTAGTCGCATCCCAGTTGTGTAGATTGATGCGCATGTGTCAGTCACTGGATTGTCTGGTCCAGATTCGATTATTTACAGACTGTCATGTAGTTGGAATATTATTGCGTGTGGCGTTAAAGAACAACCAACCATGTGAATGAAGGTGTGAGTATGCCTTTTAGCAATATCACGGCGGGGACACCAAAAATGGGCTTAACACATTGTACCTATCTGGTGAATCGAACCGGGCCTTTGCCGTGACGAGCGAACGTTTTAACCATTAGGCTATCCCATCGCCCCGTTAATATAAACTGATGTGCAAAAGAAAGTACACAGGTTGTGTTTCTTCCAATAAGATAAAAAATAACAAAACCTTTTGATGAAATGGAAAATGTATATTGAAGCACACTACAATACACGTGTTTTATCAGCAAAATGACATTGTAACAATAAACAGCGATGTAGTGATGACCACTGCAGACGGTTCCTATGATGCTGGAAGTTCAAGGCCATTCCACGCAGCGGTCGGTAGGCCCATACATGCAAGCAGGACGAAGTCGTCTTGTCACTGTGAATCGGCTTTACGCGATGACCCAATTAATTCGGCTGCTGATGACGTCGCCGTCAACATCCAGTTGCGTAGGTGAATAACCCGCAGATAGCGATCCTCTTTCTTGCAGGGTGTTGCAAGACTCTGGAACGTTCACTTCTGGGTCGATATATCTGGATGTCTACTTAAAGTAGGAAGACGTAGAATATCGTAGTGCTTGCACGTTTGTGTCAAATCCATGACTAAGGATTGGCAAGTTTTAAAATGATAGCGGATAGCCTGCACATCAACGTCTTTGAGACACGCCCCCACCACGTATGGTGGATTCTCTGACATACTTCACATATACTGATGAAAACAGATGGTTTTAACACATTAAACTGTGAATATGTAAATATTAATCCAGTCAAACCATCAAATCAGATTATCTCGGTTAACAAAAGTTTGGATTAAACGAAGTATTGTTCTTATGTAGCATCCTTTCCTTCCCGGCAGCAACCCTCAAATAGGATGGACTTCATAGCTAGCGGATTCTTAAACTTAGGATGTTTTCATGTATTTTGTTGTGTCACGTGACTGACAATTTGATCGTCTGAATAAGCGTTTAAAGCAGTTCCTTCCTATGATAATGTTTTTGCACGGAGTATAAGTAGTCCCGAGCAACCGCTTCATGTTGGGACCCGTGAACATCCGGGTTAGAACTTGTCTTTATGGCAACCCATGCTTGTCGTAAAAGGCGAATCGGACTGACAGGTTTACTGACGTGGTTGGTGCGTGTAGTCGCATCCCAGTTGTGTAGATCGATGCTCATGGTGTCAGTCACTGGGTTGTCTGGTCCAGATTCGATTATTTACAGACTGTCATATAGTTGGAATATTATTGGGTGTGGCGTTAAAGAACAACCAACCATGGGAATAAATGTGTGAGTATGGCTTTTAGCAATATCACGGCGGGGGACACCAAAAATGGGCCTAACACATTGTACCTATCTGGTGAATCGAACCCGGGCCTTTGCCGTGACGAGCGAACGTTTTAACCATTAGGCTATCCCATCGCCCCGTTAATATAAATTTAGGAGGCGATTATGCTTGTCAGGCGCTGAGTCTTGGTTCATGGCCGACCATTGTCCTCTGAAGGACACTCCTCAGATTATCAATCCCTGGTTTGACTGCGGCGATTTCTAAGAAGTTGTCGCCATATTCCTGGAATATTGTTAAGTGTAGCGTTAAACAACTATCAAACCAACGCACCATGAAGTGAACATCTCATTTTGTTCACAGCTGTCATGATAGGAACTGTTCAGCTGCAGGTTGTTCTTGGTGAGGCGAAGCTGGAAGATGCTGACTTGATTGTCTACATCACCCAGCCTGGAGCAGGTGAGTGTGATTTCATATGGTATTTAAAAACATAGCTCTAATATATCACTGTACCCTAATCTTCCCAACTTGTGCACAGACACATTACTGTCTTAACGAACCCATATATAGAAACACACACGCACAGCTGAACACATCACACTAACACCTATCTCTTCCACAGCTGAACACACCACACTAACACCTATCTCTTCCACAGCTGAACACATCACACTGACACATATCTTTTGCACAGCTGAACACATCACACTGACACATATCTCTTTCACAGCTGAACACTAGCCATTGGCTGAACACATCAAACCAACATTTCACAAAGGAAAACTAGTGCATATGCAGTTTCACTAATGATACCAATTATCATCAGTCTGAACAAAGTTGTCTCAGGTAAGATAGAGAAGATAGTGATGATACAATTAGTACCTTAAAACCTGCAGCACGTGTTGCACGGGTTGCCACGCATGTCCGTTGCCAGGCATCATGTCACGTGACGTCTTCCATTATCATTCTAACATTTGTCTCAAGGTACCTCGTAATGGAGGTAATCATCTTGATTTTATGATTTGGATACAGTTCATAACACAAAGAAAAGGTTATGTCGATGGTGTGAACCCTTGTTAAGTCAATTAAATAGTCAGTGTAAAATAATTTCAGGTGGAGCTGCAACCGCATCCGGTCGTGGGGCGGTGGGGTAGCCTAATGGTTAAAGCGTTGGCTCGTCACGCCGAAGACCCGGGTTCGAATCCCCACATGGGTACAATGTGTGAAGCCCATTTCTGGAGTCCCCCGCCGTGATGTTGCTGGAATATTGCTAAAAGCGGCGTAAAACCAAACTCAGTCAGTCAGTCATCCAGTCGTGTTCGCACATGTTACTGCACACTCGTTACGAGTAACGTAGGAGCTAGCGAAGGTAAAGTATATGAACGGAAAATACAAAAATGCAGCACAAATATGCAACGCGGGACTGTCAAACAGCACATTCAAAATACATGGGATTATCTAACTTCGTGTTTCGATACTCATCCTGTATTTAAACAAGCCCGCACATTCATACTGCTCGCTGTTTGTGCAGTTTCATCGTTCGCAAGGACCGAGCTTTAACTGATCGCAAGAGCATACATTGACGTTGCAGAAACAGTAGGCCCTAAACACTGTCACTTTCTAACTGATAAGCTACAGTCGAAGCAACAGCCAGACGCCGAAGTTGTATCTAAACCGTTGTTATAGCAGGGTCTTGTCAGACTCACTTCAGCCATTCGTTTTATATTGACATTCCTCTATTTGACGGTGGTGGAGGAATTGGGTTTAACGTCGTGCTTGAGAATATTTCGCTCATATGACGACGTGCATGCGTGTGTATGTGTATGTGCGGCTGCCTGTACTAGCCCAGACTGAAGCTAGTTTTATAGTGCTAGCCCACTGAGATACCATGCCGCAGTGAAGTATGAATACCCCACTCAGACACATTATACTGACTCCGAGCCGACCAGTCCTTGTTGTACCCATTAATACCGAGCGCCAGGCAGGGACCAACAAGTACCATATTTTAACGTCTTTTGGTATGACGCGGTCGGGGATCGAACCTGCGACCTTCCGCTCTCCGGGCGGACGCTCTAACCACTACACCACGGAGGCGATCTCCTCTATTTGAACAGCAGATAGACCATTGTATGTTAATGGCTGGTTTGGTTGTTTCGGTGTTTGTATAACAAAGTCCAAACTTGGTATGTTACTGAGTTAATGTGAGTGAGTGATTTTAGTTTTAAGCCACTTTAATCAATATTCCAGTAATATGACAGCGGGGGACACCAAAAATGGGCTTCACACATAATCCGTACATACACAGAACACTGAGACATTGTACAAAATGTTTTTAATGAAAACTAGATATTTCTTTATTTACTTTGGATAGAAACGCAAACTGTATTCGTGAGGTTATATAGTAACAAAAGGCTGGCTAGAGATTTTCAGGAAACATTTGAGTCTCCAGTTTCCAACCTGGAACCTTGCTGTACTTCCTCCTGTATCAGAGGCCATAAAGTATGGGTATCATCAGGACGTCCTTCGTAATAACTAGACCATTCTGCTATCAGTTTCTGCCCGGTCATCACAGCATCCAACTGACATGCTGATAACACACTTTCTGACCTACTTCCTGCTCTGTATAGTCTGCTGCACGTGCGTGTCAATCGTAACACGTGTAGCGTGATGACGATTGCTGCCTGCTTATTACTTAGTGTCTACAAAATCAGTAAATGTACTGTAGTGGTTTGGTCCCTCGATCACTTTTTGAGAGAGTTCTTTATTTCTGAACTGTAGGCCAGAGGCCCATAGTACAAGTAAAAAACAGTTACAATGGGTGTGTGGTACAAGCGCGTTTGCGTTTTAACAGTGCATGGTGTATAAACGTAGGAATATTCTGAAGTAGCTGTACATTTTCTGTTGACATTAGTATGCTGAATTTGTAAAATGTTGGACAGGACGTGTACTTAGATGGTATATAATACTTTCTTTGGTCTTCATACTGTGGACAGATGAGAAGGACATGGTATTCATCTAATCGATTCTTCAATAATATCCCTGTCATACATTTTGCAGGATTGGCTCTCAGTAACATGACATATTCTTTTAAAATACATTAAATCATAGTAGCCACATCGAAGCTGCGATAACGATACTCTTAATTTCCTTATACTTACGTCTGTTAAATACTTTTCACACATAAAATGTTGTTTAAACAATGAATACGAATAAGAACATTTTCCAGTTTGAATATTTTTGGTCCACTCTTGCTGGAAGCAATCCTTACATCGTTGTTGAACAATGGATAAAAAAGCTGTAGCATCCCCAACTCCCTGTCCGACCCATGCATATCCAAGACCAAGTTGGAACAATGTAAAAACCCTCGATCACTTGTTCGGGGTTTTTACAGGCCGCCAGTCTCACGACTGTATCACTGCTGTGAGACGTCAGGCAATAATCACTTACTTTTGTGCAATTGCAGTTGTGAATTGCAGGGAATGTTTACCTTCCTGGCGAATGCCTCGTGTCATTACCCATTTTCCACTAATTTTGTCTTCACATTTATAGTGGCCTTTGGAAGGGATGTAAGAGGTGGTGATATGATTGTTTTCATTCAAGAAATAGAACCAAAATTAAATTTACCATGTCTCAACTTTCTGCGGCGTCAATTGCGCGATCCCGACTACATCATGTGCACCGGTACACGGATTGCTATCAAATATTGATTAGAAGAAAAACGTGTTTAAGTCTCTCTGTCCTTTCACGGCAGATGATTGCTGGTTCCTCTATGAGTTCCCTCATGAGTGATGAATGGCCGGATGTCAGCCACACTGTATCAACCTGCCCCTGTTCAGTTTCACATTGCATTGTAATGTTTCCTGCATTGACGTTTTGAAAACAATGCGTTAATCATATTGTAAATATTTCTGGGGGGAAATGCTTGTCCAGTAGTCTAAACCGCCACAGTTGGCTGTAGAGAATTTCATCTCATTTGAATTTCATTTCTCAAGCATGCCAATAAATAAATATCCTGAGTTCGAATCCCTTCTTCCCTAATTGTGTTTCTGGGTTTGTCTGCACCATGCACTTGTTTGTGGGTTCAAAAACGGTAAATGCCTAAGACCTGCATTACTTCGGGATTTTCTCCCCCAACAACCAGACACGCCATGATTAAACGTGAATACTGACAGGCTTTTGTTACATTTGTTAAAGGTATTGATAAAAAGAACCAGTTTGAGCGGACCCCCTGGAGGGAAGTCTACACAGATTTGTCTTGATGAACCTGAGAGTATCTGGTCCTGTCTTATGGAGGCAAAGAAAAGGAAGGCACAGTCAGTAGTGATATCATTTACCAGACCAGGTAGGTCAGAGCTGACATGTGGCCTTGATGTATCTGTGACATCATTACCTGTTTATGAAACTCGTGTTCGGTTGAAACATTGTCATGGCTTGGTATCGCATCGTGATTGTTACCACCGGTGGGTCAGGGTACGCTCACCTTTTCCTACACACCAGGGGGTAATCATCACTTGCTAGTTATTCATAAACACAAGCTCGTAATATAACCTGAAGCACACAAATCGAAGCAGAGACTTCAAATAAATATAAAACAGTTTTCTTTTATATTTTTATTATTATTTTGTTGTTGTTGTTTAAATGTGTGTGGTGGGGTCTCGCGAGCCCCTGGTTTCATCACTGATTTTCAGTGGACCAGTCATAGTTCCACAACTAGTTTACCATCCACAGGAGTCTGTTTCGGGACTGGATAGTCTCTGGCATTGACGTTTTATGATCTTGTGTTTCAAATTTGTTTTATAGTTCCTGATGTATTTCCCCTTTATACCGTTACAGCTGACGGAAGTGCCGTCGGCTCGTGGGCCAAGTCCCTGTATCACGGTATAGTTAAGTTCTCTGACGAAAGAGGGAGGACGGGTCCTTCACTGAATGACATCAGACTGGCTGTAGAGGACACAGAGGACTTTGTCCAGGTCCTTCTTCATCTGAAGACAATGGAGCAGATGGGCGAGACAGATGAACTAATCTCATGTGAGTCGACAGGTGGAAACTAATTTCATATGAGTATTGAAATGTGGGATCATCATCATCATCATCATCATCATCATCATCGGTGTTATCCTTTTATATATTCAGTCGTCCTGAATACTATTTCTTATCACTGAAAGTGATGAACGCCCGTTTGGTCAATTGTCTAACTCGTCTCATATCCCTGTCCAGGGATACATCCCTGTGATGTGCCAGAAACCTGTGGTCATAGGTTCGAATCCAAGATTCCACTCATTTCTTGGTTTGTCAGCACCATATCCGTACTCGTCGGTTTCAATAAATAAGTGAGAGAGTCTAGTTTTACGCCGCTATTAGCAATATTCCAGCAGTATTACCGCGCTTGATACCAGAAATGTTCTTCACACATTGTAGCCATGTGAGGAATCAAACCCGCTTTAACCACTAGGCTACCCCAATAAATAAGACTTGCATTACTTCGGGTCGTCTTCTCCCTCCCCCACACACACACATCAAGCTGATACTCGCGGACAAAAACACATACCTGACTCACTTTCAAATATTTTGTGTGTGATGCAGAACGATTGAAGGACTTGCAGTGTGATAAATCACAACGATAGACAGCCTGGCGCCATTACAGTGTTTTACTTCCTCAATCAGGTACCTTCAACCTGTACATCCGGGTTGTTCTCAGTTGACAATCAGATATTGATGCAGTGTAGATTAGGCAGGCATGTTGCTATTCACGTGCTGGGAAGTGTATTATCTTCGCGCACGTAGAGGAAACGTGGGTTAATACTTGACATACTTGGAGAATTGAATGGTATCGGGGGGGTATGAACAAAGTTCAATTTCCATTTGAACAAAGACTATCTAGACAGCCATCGAAGTATATATTGTTTTGCACCTGTTTAACCCCGCACTCAGCAGTGTTCCAGCTATATATGTAATCATGACAGACAAGCATGAAGATCGATTTACGCAAATAACATATGATGGCATGCATCACAACCAAGTCAGTGAACCGTAGAACTCCATCACTTCAGTTGCCTCTTACGACAAGTACAGTTCTAGCCCGGATCTTCATGGGTTCATTGGGGCGGTGGGGTAGCCTAGTGGTTAAAGCGTTGGCTCGTCACGCCGAAGACCCGGGTTCGAATCCCCACATGGGTAAAATGTGTGAAGCCCATTTCTGGTGTCCCCCGCCGTGATGTAGCAGGAATATTGCTAAAAGCGGCGTAAAACCAAACTCAGTCAGTCAGTCAGTCATGGGTTCATTGGGTCATATTGAAAGGCTGGTATAATGAGAACCCATGTCTGCACAACATGTTGTTAAGCATCACGCTAAACAAGCAACACATCAGATGTACCATACTAAATTGTCAGTGTTACCAAAAGCAAACAGTGCCAAACACCAATGCCGTTCTGAAATGACAACTCGAGCGTATGTTGTAAGTTTTGATCAAGACCATTACACATTGGACCGACCGCCTCCGTGGTGTAGTGGTTCGATCCCCGGCTGCGTCATACCAAAACACGTTAAAATATGGTACTTGTTGGTCCCTGCCTGGCGCTCGGCAGTAATGGGTAGAACAAGGACTGGTCGGCTCGGAGTCAGTAGAATGTGTCTGAGTGGTGTATTCATGCTTAACTTGGGCATGGTATCTCAGTGGGCTAGCACTATAAAACCAGCTTAAGTCTGGGCTAGTACAAGCAGCCGCACATACACATACACACGCATGCACGTCGTCATATGAGCGAAATATTCTCAAGCACGACGTTAAACCCAATTTCACCTCACCTCACCTCACCTCACACATTGGGCCAGACTATAGTTAACAACTGAAAACATTTACCTAACGAGTTATTTCAGAATACAAGACCGATGTATATAAATGAATATAAATAACCCTCTGTTGTTTGATAATCCAAGAGATAAGTGTGCAGCTTTGGTTAAACATATGCCAGTTACATGTGTATCATATAGAACTAAGAAACCAACACGCCCTTGAACATGTACAATGCTGACGCCAGAGAGAACACTAGATGGACAAACTTCATGCCTGACGAACCTCTCACGTGTAAGGGGCATACACACAGTCATTCCCTGTGGCATTAAAAGATCATTGTTCTGTAAGAGATCAAGTGATACATTTGTACACCTATATTCGCCATGACAAGTAACCAGTCAAGACAACGACCTTGTCGACCGGCCCCGCCATCGACAAGCATGGCAGGCCGGGATGTACTTTTCCTGGAATCGATATGGACACAAGCATGAGATACTGAGGAACCTTATCTTTCTTGAATCTCATCGGGGAGACAAGCATGGGATACTGGGGACGTAATATTTCGGGAAGCCCCTAGGGAAGTAAGCATGGGATAGTGGGGACCTTTGTGGAATATTCTCAGGGAGACAAGCATGTGATACTGGAATATATTCCTCCTCGTATCATTCACCTGTGGTGGAAGTTTGCTTCAGATGACATCACGATGGACACAACATCCTTTAACTCATCAGGGAGACAAGCATGGGGTAGTGGGGACGTAATATTTCGGGAAGCCCTATGGAAGTAAGCATGGGATGGTTGGGACCTTTGTGGAATATTCTCAGGGAGACAAGCATGGTACACTGGAATGTAATCGTCCTCGTGTCATTCACTGGTTGTGGGCGTTTGTTTTAGCTGAACTACAAAAACAGACACATCCTATAACTTCACTCTGCTATGTATTATTGCAGTGAGGAACCGACTACAGTCGCCAGAGGACGAGGCCCAGGTGTTCAGTGTGTCTGTTACATCACCTGATCACGACAACATTGATCGATGCATTGAAAATCTACAGACCACATGGGATCTCCTAATCAAACGGAAAAAGCTCAAGCAATGTCCGGGTGATATCACTTACGATCAGGTGAGATCCATAATATATGAACACACTATAATACAATATATGCAAGTTCTGTCATAAGTGTCTACCGTTTAACATACATGTAGTGGTGTCTTTTGGGGCAAACGTATATTAGTTTCAGTGCGAAAAAGCGTTTGCGTTCGATTCCCAAGTTGTCCTAATACTGCTTAACCCCGTGTAAAACTCTATTCACTCAGTCACTCTTTAAATAATCATTGTAAGACCTGTATGTAAACATTCATACCTCTTAAAACATTTCTGATCTGACAGAAAGTTGCATTCTTCGACTTCTAAGTGTCATTGCCCACAATCGACTTTTCACAAACACCGAGTATCATCATTGATATTCAGCGGTACATTCCAACAATTTCCACAACCATTCCACCCTTTTTGCCAAATGGAATCGGCGTCGGCATATGGTCCAGACTAGTTATTTGCACGCGTTGACACAGTGTATTTCAAAAGCAGGTACGTGTTCATGAGAAAAACGACCTGTGATTTCAGAAACAAGATCTCAAAGAACTGGCGGCCATGCATAACGTGTATCTTAGCATCAGCAAAAGACACTTGACCATCACTGGAACTGAGAACTGCATGCTGAAAGCAGAAGCGGCTGTACTCGACCGACTGAACAACTTCAAGTCTGGCAGAACCGGCTGTACATGGTTCTGGCATAAGTCCTCCAGGCTGGTTCCTGTGGCGAGATCTGCAGCAGGATGCTGGAAGCGGCTTCCCGGGCATCACTCTCTTTAGCCGTGGTCAAGGACGATTCGGACAAGTGCTTCACGGCAAACCTGGCAGCAGTCCCTCCAGTTATTTACCGGTTTGGCCGACCAGAAAGCAAAGCAGAGCTCGTCCGTTCTAGAGGCAAGTAAACAGAATACTCACAGCCACCTTGTGGTACAGGGGAATAGGTGACACTGGCTTTCCTGCACATGTGTAAGATTTTCTCTTAATCCCATTAATTCCAAAGGTTCTGCAACTTCCTGTTCTTGCCTTTACCAGAGCCGTTTATAAGCTAGTGATATGTGGAATGGCAGTATCTCACCTGTGAACTAAGTAATAATCAATGGCTGCTTCTGATGTCAGTCACTGGATTGTGTGGTCCAATCACTGGATTGTGTGGTCCAAACTGTAATATTTACAGACCACCATCACATGGCTAAAACGGCCTCCAACAACAAACAAACACAACATAAAACAAACAAACACAACAGAGCTAATAGCTGTGTAGACGGTTTCCCCTTGTCAGGATAGGATACCGTAACTATTGGCATAGTGTTTAATGTAGCGTTGAACGTAGCATCAGTCAGTCAATCTACAGTCTCATAAACTAATTCAATTTTCATAGGAATGCTTCTTATACGTCCTTTCCTTACTAATGCTGAGAGAACGCTGAATCGATATTCAGTTGTTAACGAATGGCAACCGGAACATAACTAAATTAATGCTTCTTCAACTGGAACCTCTCATACGGCCAGAACAGAGCTAGTGTGGAGCAAGGTGGTGAAAAGCAGATGTACGGACCTATACGATCGCGCTTAGCGCTTAGTAGCAGCTTTGAAAGTACAATTCCGTCAGGGTAATAATATAACGCCTGAGAGCAACATCGTGTTGGATTCTAGGCGCAAAAATTAGCATAAAATTAGTATTATTAGTTAGGCGACCGGAAGGCACTTGAAGTTATCACAAGTGTTAACATAACCGTAACATATTGACGCTGTAACCAAGTTACCTTACTTCTCAACACACTTTGTTCTAACGAAAGTCATCGAGTAGTGGGCATAAACCGGAAGACCTGAAGTAACATGTGATCTGAGTATGTAAACATGGAATTCCCTCTTTGGTTTGACTGCCTTGAAAACTACGGGGCGGTGGGGTAACCTTGTCAGTAAAGTATTCGCCCGTCACGTCAAAGACCCGGGTTCGATTCCCCACAAGGGTACAATGTGTGAAGCCCTATTCAGGTGTCTCCCGCGGTGATGTTGCTGGAATATTGTAAAAAGCGGCGTTAAACCATACTCACTTACTCACTTTAAAACTATGAAATTTTATTGGCAGATAGCGGCGGTAAGACACTGCCAGCATTTTGGACCCATCCACATAATGGAGAGGGGTACTGTGTGAGGCTTGGGAAAGGATTTGAATATGACAATGTTGTGGACAACTTTAAGCGTACCCTCGGACATAAATGTAAAGTGGAAAAGGTAATACAGTATATTTAAAAAATGTAATAAATGATTATTCATTTGCATAACAAGCGATCTTTATTTTTTTATAGATATTCTTTGAATCTTTCTGTATATTGACACTACACTCATCATCTGTCATGGCGTTTCTATCCCACTGAATATATGTTGGGAATGAAAGCCTGAATCAATCAGGAATATATGATCAGGGAAATATTTTCCTTTTTTTTCAAAAAATAAAGTTGTTCAAATAAAGTTCGCTTGTTAAATTATTCGCTTGAATTGTTATTGTTGATAAACAATATCACGATCATGCATTATCGTATTTCTCTGAGGTTTATATATTAAGACTGGGAGGCTCAGATATACGATGAGTTTTGGTTATGTTTTTTTTTGAAGTCACGATTTAAAATGATTACATCTCTTTAGAAAACCTAAGTTGTACTTGTATTCAGATAGACCGGATCCAGAACCAAACACTGTTCATGCAGTACACCGCCAAGGCAGAGCAGCTTCAAAAACAAAATGGCGCCCTCTTCACTAACGAAAGAATGTTGTGGCATGGCACCAGTGATCATAACACAGCTCGCATCAACCTTAGCGGCTTCAGTAGAAGTTCCAGCGGAAACACAGGTACTTGGCGTGTTTCCTGGATCGTCGTTTCTGATGTCGTGGTTTATGCGGTTATACTCTGTTATTATTATCATCCCTATATCTGGCTTAATGGACGTTTTATGGAAAACATGTGAATGAAATATCCAAATTTGATGCATCAGTGACAAAAATGATGTCCCATGCAATACCCGAATGATTTTAGGTGAACATATGTCTAGACTTAGCAGCCACCGGTGGGGAGGATACGCTAAACTTTATCACTATTCATAGTGATTTATAAACACACGCTCTGTCATCGTACCGCATGGTGACAATCACTGGATTGTCTGGTTCAGGCCAGATTTGTTTACAACCTCATACATCTGTGACCCGTGAAGATCCGGGTTAGAATGAATCTTCAGTAACCCATGCTTATCGTAAGAGGCGAATAACGGGATCGGGTGCTCAGGCTTTCTGGCTTGGTTGACACATGTCATCGGTTCCCAATTGCGCAGATCGATGCTCATGCTGTTGATCACTGGATTGTCTGGTCGATTATTTACAGATCGCCACCATATAACTTGAATATTGCTCAGTGCGGCGTAAAACTAAACTCACTCACTCATACAGCTGTAATACTGCTGAAACAAATATCTGTTCATGATATAGTCACAAATCGACTCTCGATTTCTTATGAGTGTGGAAAGGGTTTTGTCGCTTCTATTCTGATAGTGCTATATACAAGGATGTCGTTTAGCATAACTGGCCATCTTTCATTAAACTTTATCAAGGTACGGAATGCTTGAGAAAGGTGTGGTTCACCCTCCAGTCCCCTCGGGATCTGAGTAGGATTGTGTTTGTCTGTTCCAGCTACCCAACACGGGGAAGGTTGTTACTTTGCTGTCAAGTCCAGCTACTCCGTGAACCCCCTGTACTCTCCCCCAGACAAGCGTGGGTGGAAGAGGGTGTACCAGTGTCGCGTCCTCACAGGGAAGTTCACGCTGGGGAGGCCCCGGATGAAGGACACGCCCTTCAGGGGCCCAGAGAAAACGGTCAAGTACGACTCCGCCGTTGATGATGTTAAGAAACCGAGTTTATTCGTTGTGTTCAATGATACACAGGCCTACCCTGAGTATCTCATTACCTTCAGACTAATAAAGTGATGTTCTTCAGAGCTTAAAGTGATGTTCAGCAGAGATTTAAGTGAAGATCTCAGGAGCCTAAAGTGACGTTCTTCAGAGCTTAAAGTGATGTTCGGCAGAGATTTAAGTGAAGATCTCCGGAGCCTATAGTGATCTTCTTAAGAGCTAAATTGATATTCGTCACGGCCTAATATGATGTTCTTAAGAGCTAAAAGTGATGTTCGGCAGAGATTCAAGTGAAGATCTCCAGGAGCCTATAGTGATCTTCTTAAGAGCTAAATTGATATTCGTCACGGCCTAATATGATGTTCTTAAGAGCTAAAAGTGATGTTCGGCAGAGATTCAAGTGAAGATCTCCGGAGCCTATAGTGATCTTCTTAAGAGCTAAATTGATATTCGTCACGGCCTAATATGATGTTCTTAAGAGCTAAAAGTGATGTTCGGCAGAGATTCAAGTGAAGATCTCCGGAGCCTATAGTGATCTTCTTAAGAGCTAAATTGATATTCGTCACGGCCTAATATGATGTTCTTAAGAGCTAAAAGTGATGTTCGGCAGAGATTCAAGTGAAGATCTCCGGAGCCTATAGTGATCTTCTTAAGAGCTAAAAGTGATGTGATCTAGAGCGTAAAGTTAAATTCTTCAAAGCCAAAGGCGATGTTCTGCAGAGCCTAAAGTGATGTTCTGCAGAGCTAAATATGATATTATCTTCAGAGCATCGTTAAGTTCCATATTCAACCACGTCCAGTTACACTTACAGGAACCATAAGCGCTATGTTTACCTAGTAATACTCTTCTTGATCTGTTTAAAGAAACCACTGTAGATATCATACTATTTTTGTTGTCCATTTAAATTATAAGGATTGACTGTTTATTTTGGGGCTCATTCAAGCATGAGTCTAAAAACCGATATGCAAACCATTGTTAGATCCCGCTACACAGTCAACAATTAAGACAATCGATACTTTGATAAATATTCACATACAAGTGCTCACGTGTGTATGTGATGCTGAATATATTGTTATGGGTTTAAGAACGTTTTACAGAAATGATTACCTTGAACATTTCTTTTCATGCGTAGTTTGACTTAATGAACTTCATGGAGCCAGATAAAACATTGAACACACACCAAGCTTGTTGTATTTGCTTTATTCATGAACCAGTTCTTCGTGTTATGGCCAATATGGCAGTGTGGATAAACAGGATTGGTCTGGAACCGCCGACCTGTCGAGAAGTGTGCTGTCCGGTACCACAGATCTCATGGAATCACGCACCTGGGACAACAGAGGATGAAGTAGTGCTTCTGTTACATTCACGTGGAGGTATATGGAAGTGTGCCGTCGATAAACATTTATCAGTTCTCAGGAAAGGTATTTCACTATCGAATTAAGGACTTATATTATGTTTGACAGCGGTTCCGGTCTTAATCAATAATGATGTGTTTGACTTTCAACCATGACATGTGTCATTGAGGTACCATGAGAACATTATTTACACCGACTGTGTTAAAGTGTGGTTAAATGACATTACCTCAGTGTGTATATCACGTTAACTCTGATAGTTAAAATATTACAGCATGTTGTAAAAATACAGAAAAGACCATAACGGCGTTTTAGCTGAATAAGAGAGGAAAGCTGGATGTGATGCAGGTCTCGGGCGATTAGCATTTTGAAGAAACATACGAAACACTTGTGGCATTGGCAAACATTTAAACTGAGCACTTCGCCTCAAGCTAGCAATCGAGAGTTCATTCCAACCACAAAACGAATCTTACATCATTGAGCTATTTTTGCGTCACTAGACTTTACATCTGACGAATACCGGTGTACGACAGATGTTATGGGCTGGATGTAGGTCAAACAGATTGAAATCCAATATTAGGTCACATGATACTCATGGTCTGCCAGCCGTCGGGTAACGCTCGATGGCGTCCTCGTACTCACCGTTTCCACCTGTTTAAACACTCTGTAGAAGTTTCTAAAAGCAACATTCTCCAGCTCTCTCTCTGACCAGCCCCTCCGGAGCAGCTCAGCGAATAATAGAGGGTAGCTCGACACGTCGGCCATCTCTCCATTCACCCTGAAGATCACACACATCAATGGGTGGGATGACACCACTGCACACAGTACTTCCAGTGGATATACAAGGTTCAAACAGAACTTGCTTATCTCTTACATATCACCGTAAACGACGGCGAGAACATAACGTGTGTCTGGTCCTTCAGGTGTCGCCATGTTGCAGTATGGCTGAAATACTGAGTGAGTGAGTTGAGTTTTACGCCACACTCAGCAATATTCCAGCTATATGAAGGCGGTTTGTAAATAAACGAGTCTGGACCAGACAATCCAGTGATTAACAGCATGAGCATCTATCTTCGCAATTGGGAACCGATGACATATGTCAAGCAAGTCAGCGAGCCTGACACCCGATCCCGTTAGTCGCCTCTTACGACAAGCATGGGTTACTGAAGGTTCATTCTAACCCAGACCTTCATGGGTAGGCTGAAATACTGACACCGAGTGGGAGGATGTGTGCTACACGAGACACGTTGAACATCAACTAGTGAGTGAGTGAGTTAATATATATAGTCACATCGGCATTATTCCAGCCATGTCGTGAAGAGAACGATTAATTATCATATTATAGATCAGTAATGAACATCAACTAACATATACAAACAGTCAGTGAGCTGGGTGAGATTTTGTTTGTTTTCACTTATACCATATGTTGCGTGTCGTTTTTCAGGTAACCAATTGACTTGCCTTCGCAAGTGTTTGTGACGGGTACCATTGGTGTGGTAGGATACGCTCGCCTGTTCGTCAAAACCTGGCATCATCGCTATTTGTTTACATCTCTCTCATTATATTGCTAGAATCATAGACTCGATTTTAGCAACGAATGTTCGTGAAAGGTTGTGAAAGAAATGTTGTAAGTTCTCCTACTGAGATGGGTGGTGGGGTAGCCTAGTGGTTAAAGCGTTGGCTCGTCACGCCGAAGACCCGGGTTCGAATCCCCACATGGGCACAATGTGTGAAGCCCATTTCTGGTGTCCCCCGCCGTGATGTTGCTGGAATATTGCTAAAAGCGGCGTAAAACCAAACTCAGTCAGTCAGTCAGTCCTACTCAGATTTACGGTAACGGTAGGTGACATATAGATGACAGCGCAGCTATGCAAAGCATATCGTGTTCCATGTAAAAGTGCAACTATTAGCTTAAGGTCAAAGTATCAACACTTATTGTCATCACTATACATGTATAGTTGGTCGAGATAAGTAACACGATATCATACTCTAGACTGGTGTGCCATGTTGTTATCATGCGTGTGGGGTTTTCCATCTACGTCTGACACGACATCATTCTCAATACGAACAATGTACCAAGGTTAAGTGTGCAGATAAAACGCTTGTGGGAATTCCAGTTCGGATGTCCAGCACGGTATATGTCATAGTGTTCTGGAGTATTGCAAGAACAAACAAATAGTAAATATAATATCCATATAGAATACACGATACTTACCCCGACCCGTCGAAGTCACAGCCAATACCAAGGTACTGGGAGCCTATCAGCTTGCGGAAATAGTCATAATGATCTGAAAATGAGACATATTGCTGAGAATAATCACCCTAACAGGGAAACAATTGCCTTGCCTACGCAAGTGTTTGTGACGAGTGCCACCGAAGGGCGAAATATTCTCATCTTATCGAGAATCGATTTGTCAGACATGACCATGTTTGTTGCCTCACTCAACAATATATTGGGGTGGGTGTGGGTGTGTGTATGAACCAGACAATCAATGGTCCAGTATATTGGGGGGGCGCTGTGTATGAACCACACATTCTCGTGATAGATAGCATGAGCATCGACCTATGCAGTTGTAGTCTGACTACTCGATCCTGTTACTTGCCCCTTACACATATGGGTTGTACAAGACCAGTTCTGACCCAGATCTTCTGGATCTTGGTGCCACTGGATTGTCTGAATCATTTACAGACCCGTCATTTCGCTGAGAGTAGCGTGAAACAACAAACTCACGTTTCCCACAACACAGTATTGTCATCTCACAACACAGTATTGTCATTTCACAACACAGTATTGTCATCTCACAACACAGCATTGTCATCTCACAACACAGCATTGTCATCTCACAACACAGTATTGTCATCTCACAACACAGCATTGTCATCCCACAACACAGCATTGTCATCTCACAACACAGCATTGTCATCTCACAACATTGTCATCTCACAACACAGCATTGTCATCTCACAACACAGCATTGTCATCCCACAACACAGTATTGTCATCTCACAACACAGTATTGTCATCTCACAACACAGTATTGTCATCTCACAACACCGTATTGTCATCTCACAACACAGTATTGTCATCTCACAACACAGTATTGTCATCTCACAACACCGTATTGTCATCTCACAACACAGTATTGTCATCTCACAACAGAGTATTGTCATCTCACAACACAGTATTGTCATCTCACAACACAGTATTGTCATCTCACAACACCGTATTGTCATCTCACAACACAGTATTGTCATCTCACAACACAGTATTGTCATCTCACAACACAGTATTGTCATCTCACAACACAAGCCATCTCCCCCTGTGATAAATACCGACTATGACGAAGTATGAAACAACATATTACTGAAACATTTGTGGCACAAAACGCAAATTGTTTTCCAAATAAATATTTTGTATTAATGAAGCAAAACCTTTAAAGTATAAAATTTAAAATAAAATAGTATATCCTCACTTGTTCCCATGATGGGTACCAAATACAGACTGGATGAGATTTGGGGACGCGGAGACCATTTTACGTCACTTCAGTAATATTGCAACCATTGCTGAACGTGAATGAATAACTAGTGGAAACACATATTTATCTTATTAGCTGGTTTATATATTTGTTTCTTAAACCCGTTTGTATTTGTAAACAATCTATATGTTGTATTCTGTGTATGCGTTTTGTAATGAATAAACAAAAGTAGTACAAGACATCTGTTTCATTTGGCATTTGAGTAAAATGTGAAATAATTAATATTTTTCATTCTACGTCGGCGTATCCGTAAACCATTAGTTTAGTGAGTTTAGTTTTACGCAGCACTCAGCAATATTCCAGCTATATGGCGGGTAAACCAAGTAGCTAAAACGCCTCAATAATGACGATTGGTTGGTTGGTTTGTTGTTTAACGCCGCACTCGAAATATTCCAGCGGCAGTCTGTAAATAATCGATTCTGGACCAGACAATCCAGTGATCAACAGCACGAGCATGGGTCTACGTAACTGGGAACCGATGACATGTGTCAACCAAGTCAGCGAGCCTGACCACCCGCTCCCGTTAGTCGCCTCTTACGACAAGCATGGGTTACTGAAGATCAGTTCTAACCCGGATCTTCATGGGTACCAATATTGACGGAATTTCAAACTGATGTCACGCGGGTCCTGTAGTAAGATGAGTTAGGAACCGATCAACTGGTACCTGCGACTTGGGCCACGGATGCGGTTCTGTTGTCATCGCCATGCTTGTTCTCCATAGTGCAGTTGATGAACCGAGGGTACACGTTAATCATGATAATGCCATTATTGGCAGCCTGAAACAAAAAGACAGCATCAGTGCATGATGGGGCAATATACATATCTTTCCCGAGTGTTTGACCGGTGCGGTGCTCTTCACTAAACACATAAGACGTACACTGTTTCTATACAGCGATAAACTATCGACATCAGGAATAGACTATCTATAAGATGTAAGTCTATTATATATTTGTTGCACACACTCACTCACTCACACACACTCTCTCTCTCTCTCTCTCTCTCTCTCTCTCTCTCTCTCTCTCTCTCTCTCTCTCTCTCTCTCCCTCTCTCTCTCCTTCTCTCTCTCTGCCTCTCTCTCTCTCCCTCCTCTCTCTCTCTGCCCCTCTCTCTCTCTCCTTCTCTCTGCCCCTCTCTCTCTCCTTCTCTCTCTCTCTGACCCTCTCTCTCCTCTCTCTCTCTCTCTCTGCCCTCTCTCTCTCTCTCTCTCTCCTTCTCTCTCTCTGCCCCACTCTCCTCCCTCCCTCCCTCCTCTCTCTCTCTCTCTGCCCTCTCTCTCTCCCTCTCCTCTCCTCTCTCTCTCTCTCTCTCTCTCTCTCCTCTCTCTCTCCTTCTCTCTCTCTCCCACTCTCCTCTCCCTCCCTTCCTTCCTCTCTCTCTGCCCCTATCTCACTCTCTCCCTCTATCTCTCTCTGCCATTCTCTCTCTCTCTCCCTCTCTCTCTCCTTCTCTCTCTCTGCCCCTCCCTCCACCTCTCTCTCTCTCTCTCCCTCTCTCTCTCTCTCTGCCCCTCTCTCTCCTTCTCTCTCTCTGCCTCTCTCTCTGCTCTCTCTGCCCCTCTGTCTCTCCTCTCCCTCCCACTCTCTCTCTCTCTGCCCCTCTCTCCCTCTCCCTCTCTCTCTCCTCTCTCTCTCTGCCCCACTCTCCCTCCCTCTCTCTCTCTGCTTCTGTCTCTCTCACACACACACGCACACACACACAGCACGCACACACAGCGCGCACACACACACACACACACACACACACACACACACACACACACACGGTCATTTTTCATATAAATGTCTTGGAAATAAGTACAGGAATTGGGCTTCATACTTTGTATCGGCAAGGAGACTCGAACTTGACGAAAGAACGCTTTAACCGTTGCCCCATTGTCCCTGATGACAGCGTGTCATATTATCCCTATTCTTTATGTATTATATACCCATGTAAACTTATGATAGTAATACAGGGGATCAATACGGATGACGTGGTCAAATTCCGTACTGCACCCCAGATTCCGTATTGAACCCCTGCCGGTTCTACTTTCTTATCTTATTAGGTAACAGATCCTGCTAATATCGTCAAGGATGTGTACAAAGTAGAAAAGAATTATTGCTTGTAATAACAATACTTTGCCTAAATTTAATTCCAAATGGAAACCTCTGAACAATGTATTTCAGATATAATTATACACCTGACATGTCCATAATTTTATGAGTGCTTCACTGTAAATGCTTTGAAAAAGAATGATATGATATATACTCTCCCAAAAAGCTGGCCAGTCTCAACGTGCAGTTGCCCGACGCATGAATGTTCACCAAAGCACCATTTCACGGCTCTGGGAGAGATATCGCCGGCAGAATTCGGTAGCAGATGCCCCTCGTAGTGGGCGACCTCGAGCGACCACTGCGGCGCAGGATCGCTACATCCGGGTAAATCACCTGCGTCATCGAACAGCTACGGCGACCAGTACCGCTCGACAAATACCCGGATTGAGAAGGCTTTCTGCACAGACAGTCAGGAACAGGTTGAGAGAGGCTGGTTTACGTGCCAGAAGACCTTATTTTGGCCCTGTGCTTCGACAACAACATCGTGGACATCGAGTTCAATGGTGCACCAACATTCAGGCCTGGAACCTACCGAATTCTCTTAGAATCTGGTTCAGTGATGAATCACGATTTCTATTGGAATGACGCGATGGAAGAATGCGGATGTACAGACGTCGACGTGAAGGTTTCGCCGACACTTGCGTTTCCCAGGTGGACAAATTCGGCCGGGGCAGTGTTATGATGTGGGGAGCGATAACCTGCCGTAGGAGAAGTGATTTGGTGATGATCCAGGGCAACCTGACAGCTCAACGGTACTGTGACGAAATCCTACGCCCACACCTCCTTCCAATCATTGATCGCCAGAGGGAGTTGTTTCAACAGGACAATGCCAGGCCCCACACAGAACGTCACACTAGAGACTTCCTCCAGAACCACAACATCAATGTGCTCCCCTGGCCCTCAAGATCACCGGACTTTAACCCGATCGAACATCTGTGGGCTGCCCTGGACAAACGGGTGCGTCGCCGTAACCTTCAGCCCCAGACACTTCAGCAACTCGCACAGGCTCTACAGGCAGAGTGGGCTGCGATTGGGCAACATGAGATTCTGAGACTTATTCGTTCGATGCCGAGGCGATATGCCGTGCAGTTCTGGATGCCCACGGTGGTCACACGAGGTATTGACTTCAGCGCCACCACACATCTCCATGTGACACTCAAACTGACTTTCCTCGTGTTGGTGCAAAAGACGGATAAGTCTGCATTCCCAGTGTGCAATTTCGCTATATTTCATTGACTCATAAAGCCTACAAGATGTTTCAAAATAAACATAAAAATACACTTGAAATTCCAATATGCGTTTCTTTTTTGGGAGAGTATATGTATCTACACCTGCTGAAGTGAAATGAATAAAAAGAATGTGAAAAAAAAAGTAACAAATGCAAGATAAGAGGGTATATATTAAAGATAGAACGTCATCTTCGAACTCGTTTCTCTGCTCCCATGACATCTTCTCGCACAATACAAACATCCAAATGCACTAGTATGACGTTCTATATATTTACACCATTCTCTACCGAAATATTGGGGTCGAATGTAATATAGACCAATCCTCCAACTCAGCCCCGTCACTTGTAGTGAAATCATGTGATCTTGGAACACGAGAAACGGAACTTTCGTATGATTACTTTTTCTGTAGACCCCGCGATAACGGTGACATTGTAGCAGATAGACCTTTGCCCTTATTGGTCAGTGTGGTGACAATCTATGTATGTGTGTCCTGTAAACGGGTCAATACTGTCCAGACCTACTAGAATGTTAATATATGAACACGGGGGAACATTTCCCGGTTCCAAGCTCTTAATCTTTGTTGCATAACTATTTTGGAATAATTTGGCATTTCAAGATTGATGCGAAATGCTAATATGTCGATTGGGACCGATAAATATTTGCTTCAATTTTTCATAGTTCAGATTCCAGACTCCAGATTTTCTTCTCCCCGAGGAGTGTACAACCCAAGCTGCCATACGATGACATATATGAAGTGTAAAATAAACGGTGAATATATAGCTGAATATCTGCCTGCAGTCAATTTCAAATGTACTTATTACTTTTTTACAGTCTTCTTTGCTAACGTGGGTTTCAGGAAGCTGAATAACATTATAGAATTCAGGTTATACAACACTGTGAACCTCAAACTTTAAATCCTAAAATCTGGAACTGTGAATGAAACAAAACAGATCAGCCAATAAGGCAAGTGTTTCTTCGCCCTTGGAATGGTTATGGCATATCGTAATCACAGGGAATATCTACCAGGAGTTTAGCGACATCGTCAGGGACGTTCCTCTCATGTGGACAGACGTGATGGGATGACGAGTGGCTGAAGATGACAGGGGCGACTGACACGTTGAGGGCGTCGTACATGGTGTCGACTGCAGTGTGAGAGAGGTCCACCATCATACCTAGCCGATTCATTTCAAGCACCACTCTCTGAAATCGAGATTGATACTGTTAATACCACTACCACTACCACTACCACTACTACAGCTACCACTACCACCACTACAGCTACTACTACGACCACCACTACAACCACCACCAGTTAAACAAATCAAATGATTGAAAACAAACCATATTTGTCCGATACGAAGCAATAGGGCATCGCCCCACATCTACTCCCATCTCCAGATAAAAGTGAGGATTTCACACGGTTTTATTGGAGGATCTCATCAATGCTTTGGAAAACAGCTCGTTTATAAAGTAAGTTGTTCGATCATCTTCGATACTTAAAGCAGAGCGATAATCGCAATCTTAAACTGTGATATTCACCTTTCCAAAGTCTGTTAAGCCATGGTGGTTGGGATCGTTGTATCGTGTATCGTTACAGGAATCTGCCCTGAAATGTTAAACCTACATGCATACACTTTCATATGACACATTCTATATTTGAAACCTGAAAAGAACCTGCACCTTACCATGGGGTGTCACAGCTCCAGGTCAAGGTCAAATATCTCACTCCAAGGTCATAGTACATGCGCAGTATGGCCAGGTTACTGTCGATCATTTCGCCCCCTTCTAAGCCAATCATCGAAGCTACTTTACCGTCACGGAAAGTGGGCATGATATCTGAAATGTGATGGGGATTTTATAGAATGGTTTGATCAGTAGGTTCCCATGGTTCCCCTTTCAAATACAATACGTTAAGTGATGACGCTGTTGCCAGAATGTCTTTGTTTCCCCAGTGGCTGTCAGCGTTTACCACAGGTTAAAGTACTATCACAGCAAAACAACGAAAGGGTCGTCAGAAAAGGATACACACATTTTACCCGTGTTGCAAACTGACAATATGTTTTAATTTAATTGAAATATAAATTGCTGGGTGAATATTTTTCATGGTTACACTCAACTTCCATACATGTGTAAAAAGCCTGTAAATAGAAATTGTAAGCTTGTATCGTTTTCGAGTGAGTGAGTGAGTATGGTTCTACGCCGCTTTTAGCAATATTGCAGCAATATCACGACGGGCCTTACATCACTTCCTTTAAACGAGACATCGTGTATGCGGGGAACGACTGGATGACTCACCATCCACAGCTGTGACAAAACGGAAGGTGTCGGAGTATTTGTGGACGAACTGCTTGATGATGTCTATGGTGGAGAGAGCCCAGGAGACGCTGTCCCTGTACTGGAACGTACACGGAGTCCACGCAGACCACATCTAGGAAGTGAGGATAAAGGTATCGAGGTCAGGTGGTACCCCTTCAGACATAATGAACTGCTTCAGAGGAAATAAGTCATAGTTTTATCATTTATACCGTGCTCAAGGCAGGGAAACAACAAGTTCCATCTTTTTATTTGGTATGAGGCTGTCGACCTCCTCAGACGATCCACTGAACCTCAAGGTGTTCTCATTAATTAAATGTTTACGCCAGGTCAGTGAGGGCGTGAGTGTAAAACAACAAGGGTATAAGGTCGTGTATATAAGAGCAATACATAATAAGTGAAAACCGCAAAACCGTTTACCCTTTAGGTAAACAAAACCCGATCAGATGGATCTTGAAAGTATCAGAGTGAGTGAGTTACAATTCTCTGTCACATAAGCAATATTTCAGCCACACCGTGATTATATAAGTATCTGAGCGAATCTGACATTGGAATTCTACAGAACCATGGAACTCCTAGGAACTAAAGGAAACGAATCTGTCACATTCTGATGTCACGGATGTTGTCACGGATGATGTTCGTTGTGTATACCATTTCAGAATTAACGAGAACACTTTGATATATAAACCTTAAATCGCCTATAGGGAGTCGTATCAGCGAAAGTGACTGGACATGACAAGTATCGTAGGCACGTTTGAACAGTGTTTATCAGGGATATTTATGATATTCCTTGAGTAATGCAAATTCAATATCTCTCTAAGTAATGACCATGCTGTCAATGAAAATGAAGTCAACACAGCTTGACCATTGTCATCATGGCCACCATCATAGAGTCATTAGCTGCCTATAATCAAAGTTAGACAAAGGCTGGTTGGCCACTGAAGCATGACATTGTGGATGAGGTGCGGGATACTGCAGGCTGACCACACATCTGTCGTAAATGCGACACGTGACAGTGTGATCAGACCCTTAGGGATAAATTGAGAATGCTTTGTGTTAGTCGAGACTTGACCCTGAGACAGCGACTAGGCAGGTTGGCTGACCATCGCCTCCGACATGCCGCCTAGTCATTGTTGTAACTTCATGTATGTATGCATATTGAATCCAGAATAAAGTGTTGTGGACCCACTGATGGACTTCTGTATTTGAAGACACATTTATCCCCTCGAAACAACCCGGGATACAAGTCATCTCCTCTGGTACCAATATAACCTTAACACTAGCATGTCCCACATATCACCTTCGAGGTATATGACAGGCGATCATTGTTGCCACAGTGACGTAGGCACCGGTGTGTTCTGGGACTATGTAGAAACATGAAGGAACACCTCGAACACAGTGAAATCATCGTTTCGTGTATTTCTTTCTTCACGTGCAATTGTTTTGTTCATTTGCTTGCTGTAGAGATACCAACATAAATATCTTAGCTCTGAATTATGACGATTTATCATTGCATCTGTTCGCAGCATTGGTCCGACAAAGTGAGTGAGTGAGTTTAGTTTTACGCCGCACTCAGCAATATTCCAGCTATATGGAGGCGGTCTGTAAATAATCGAGCCTGGACCAGACAATCCAGTGATCAACAGCATGGGCATCGATCTGCGCAATTGGGCAGTTGGGAACCGATGACATGTGCCAACCAAGCCAGCGAGCCTGACCACCCGATCCCGTTAGTCGCCTCTTACGACAAGCATGAAGGCTCATTCTAACCTGGACCTTCATGGGTCCCGACAAAGAAGTCAGATTGAGCACTTTGACTGAAGAATGTCTCCTTAATATTTCTATTTGTTTACATGAATAGTTTATATCTTAACAATACTCCATGGTGACAAAGAGGCTAAACTTAGAAAGTACAGGTAAATACCCCATTGTACCACAAACCTAACTAAAGGTCGCTGTGACACAAGAAGTTAAGCCTGTTTTTTGCTGTGTCCGTTAAGGCAAAAGATTGGACACGCGAGCGGGAACTGAGACCGGAGCGTTGAGAAGATTTACCTGAGCTCCGAGTTGTCCCTGTCGTATACGGGGGATGTCTGTCTGCGCCAGAAACTCGGGGTCCGCAGGAAACTGTGCCCGGGTGTCCTTCCTCAGATCAACCTTCTCCAGATCTCCCTTGAAGTTCTTTATGATGTGCCAGCCGAGATCGTTATGTCTGTACATGCACCGAATATATATAAATATACAATGTCATTTTCAAATTGGTAAAATGTAACATGTGTTTCATTGTGGATTACATTTTCCCTGTTAAGTACAGATTCTAGTACTTTTATTAGGTTGACTCTCATTTGGGATTCGAACCCACACTCCCAGAGTCAGGCACCTTTACAAAACCAATCACACATCACACAGCCGAGATAGTAAGGTCTGTACAACTATCATTGCACAACACATACGTCCATTTGGAGATCTTGTGGTAAATAAAGTTATAGCGCGAGGGTGTGATGATAGGGCTTGATGTAAAATTCCTGTATCAACAGTAGCGTTGAAACCGTGAGTACGGCATTACATCAAAACAGACAAAAGTACACCTTACCCATCCACAAGTGGCACTCGCTTCAATATATTCTTGGCTTGCACTTCGTAATAATCTCCCTTGCTGTTGTCGGGAGGCATCACCAGAAATGGCGCCACGCCGTTGATGACGACTACAACGATGTATAGCAGATATTGTCATGAGAGAAGATGATGCTGAATTGCATAAACTTTCTGTTAATGAAACTGCAAATTAATTACCTGGACATGAATAATCTAAAAGGCACAATGTCATAACACATCTCTAAAATACATAATGCATTTCTCTCAATGATACTATCAGCCCTCAGGGAAGTTACCATATGATTTATTCCAAACAGAAATTATATATTTAGATTAAAATATTGCATTATAAAGCTCGAAGGAATTAATGCAGCGTTGCATTAAATCGACTCTCGAGCCCTCTACCAGCCGAATACTATTTCAAACGAACCCATAGAGTTATGTCCCTTGGAGCGCTCTTTAAGAATATCCTACGCACAACGTGTGATTCATTCGTAACTACTCGTCGCTTTCCGTAACCTGAAAGAAAACTTGTACCCCTCTCGTAGCCATGTCCGGGAGAAATATTCCCCCAGCCAATCGGAATGCGCGTATGTAGAGAAGAAATTGGGTCAAAATAGGTCTTTGAAATATTTTTCATTTCGGCTTGCATAATTTTTTCCCAGACACTTCAAGTATATTCTAATTATTGCACAGTCCTCCTTTATTTCCTGAATTTCTGTAACAAGGATATTTTAACATTATGGCGTAGGAAAGTATTTAAGCATGTTCAACATACCCTTTGAGGTAATTTCCTTGGCTGGGATGCCATGTGTGTTTTCCAAGTAAACTAGATTTACCTGCCCTTGAAAATAGTTCGTTGACTAGATTATTTCTTTCTCTCTGCGATTTTGCGCTAAGACAGAGCCACGTTCAATAAAATGGCTTTGAGAGGGGTACGAGTCTACTTTCAGGTTACACGGAAAGAGACGAGTAGTTACGAATGCGTGTGATTGAAACCAGGTCGGTAAAGACCGCAAAACCGGGTGCGACAGTTTACGATGTACGGAGCAATTGTTTACATTCCATATATGGCAAGTGTTATATTTTGGAAGCTGTTCGCCTCGAAGGTTTAATTATTGATTTCAGGCAAGTCGTTAGGGATAATAGGTGTTTTATTGCACCAATTGGAAGCATTGAGTGCATATGACCCCAATATATAAAATATAGGTCAAAATATTGTCGAAAATGTGTGACATTGTGCCTTTTCACCGTCAAGCTGCTGTTCATCTATATGTAAATTTGAACAGGCCTCTCACGTGACTTTATTATTGTTTGCTTCTCCCTTCCGAAAAGAGAGAACTAAATTTATTTCGAGACCCTTTTTGTAACCAGTCGATGTTTCTGTTTCACAATACTAATCTGACAATACAGGGCTGTATGGGCGGGAGATTTTTCCACTTGTATCGATAGTTGTTTGGTCCTTTAGTTGGTATAAGGCAAAAGACCATTGTATATACATGGGAATATACTCCTAACTTATGATTTTATAATTTTGTGGTTTGGTTAACAATGAAACCAGCCACATCTGGCTGCTCTCACGAGTACTTTCTGCATGTTCTCATGATGTCTTGAGCGCTCACCTCTGGAGTAGTGATAGGGGCAGTTAAAGCAACACTAATAGTTATTAAGGCTAACGAATCCCACGATGACGTTTAGTTTCAAAAAGAAGGTCCAGGACGTGACGGGGTTTAGGATTTCAACACAAAGCAATGAGAAGTGTTTTACCTGCCATACAGACCGACATAAACATCTAAATTATCAATACTTTCGCAGGTTTTATAAAATGATAGTCTTTCACGTTCTCATGACAGCCCCTGCACGGGGACTGATATTTACCACCATTCACCACGAACAGTTGCGCCAGATGTACGAGTTTCACGATTTCCATGTGTAGTTCACCTGACAAACTCTGAGTATCTGCAGGTATGTATTTGCATGTAGATGTGTATTCCGACATACCCTGTATTGATCCTCATTTACTTACTTTACAAAGACAGCTTAAAAAGATCTCATTAAAATCAACATTTTAGCTCCATTTATTAATTTAGTTTTATATACGGGGGACGGGTTGAAACACGGGTGGGGCGGGGCGTCCATGATTAAACACTTTCATATATCAGTGTTGATTGTCTTCAAACTGAGATATTGATATTGATGCTCCCACGTCACTGACATAATTATAAATACTTTTTACAAATATTCGAATTGTTACAACATATACTTAGCAAATATAAGTCCATTCCAGTAAACCTTTGAACAGGTTTTGTCTATCTACTTCTGAATAAATATCAATAAATCACAACTTTTTAACGGTTTAATACGCCATGGATGTACACCAGAAGGCATTGTCCTCAAAAACTGCTATGCAGCGTTAAGCAATACTCACTCACTCACTCACTCACTCACTCACTCACTCACTCACTTGTCCTCAAAACAATCATCTTAGATCAGAACCAGCAAACTCTTATCAAACATCGTGAATGGAGTGACTAGGTCATACTGGTAGGGGTGAGTGAGTGCTTTATGCCGTTTTAGCAATATTCCAGCAATATCACGGCAAGGATCATCAGGAATGGACTTCACTCATAGTACCAATGACGGAAATCTAACCCGGAGCTTTGGTGTGACGCGGTCGGGGATCGAACCCGCGACCTTCCGCTCTCCGGGCGGGACGCTCTAATTTCACTACACCACGGAGGGCGGTCTCATGAATTATGAATAGCATTTCAATTATATTTAGTTTATTACATTCGCTTGAGTGTATGCTTACCGTTTTCATAGTTTATGACATTGTGCCACGCAAAACCTGTCGTCATGGCTGTACGTTCACCGTGAATGAGTGAGTGAGTTGTGTTTTACGCCGCACTCAGCAATATCCAGCTATATGGAGCCTGACCACCCGATCCTGTTAGTCGCATCTTACGAGCGAAAGCATGGGTAACTGAAGATCAGTTCGATTCCCAACATGTGTACAATTTGTGAAGCCCATTTCCGGTGTTCCCCGCCGTGATATTGCTGAAATATTGCTAAAAGCAACGTAAAACCAAACTCACTCACTAACTGAAAATCAGATTCTAACCCGGATCTTCACGGGTTTACCAATGACAATATTAGTACGTGTACCTTAAACTGTAACACTTCTATTTTTTAAAATGTAGTCGTTTTAAGAGGCTGATGTGTTGTACAGCTTTACAATGCATTAAGACCAGAATTGTTTTAGCGGTTGGTTAACATGGTAAAAATAGAGTTACATGACCTTGCCTTTGGATACGGCGAGGCAGGCGGAATGGATTATCATGGCTACCGGTTGTCATCGCATTTGGTTCGGCATTTTCATGCTATTACTAAGAGACTTACCATGCAGTAAGTTACTTTGTAATTAAGTTAAGAGGTGTTAGTATACCGACATCAGACGGTATTGTATGTTGTAAAGTTTTCGACAGTTTTTATAAGCAAGTTTTAGTTTGAGTCGATGGACATGATGAATGTAACTCCGCGCCAAAATACCTTTGTAGCGCTATGGATTGTTATCACGGTATTTGGGTCAGGTTTTAGACTGTTTTGTCTATCACATTTTTGTTTTCTTTCAGTCTTTTACCCCGACGACTGGCTGACTCCAAACGCCGAACGGGTTAACTTTATTTACAATAAAAGCGATGTTAAGAATAGAATATATCTTGATATAAGTGGTATACGTTCCCTTCCTTCTGAGCAATATTCCTTCAGCTCCTTCACCTGCTCTTCGTATTTCACCACAACTGATGCACGGTCGAGTATACTCTTGTCACCAAGACTGACTGACTGACTGAGTTTGGTTTTACGCCGCATTGAGCAATATTCCAGCAACATCACGGCGGGGGACACCAGAAATGGGCTTCACACATTGGTACCCATGTGGGGATTCGAACCCGGGTTTTCGGCGTGACGAGCCAACGCTTTAACCACTAGGCTACCCACCGCCCCTTGTCACCAAGAAAGTGTATGCGTGTCTTGCTCAGAGGTTGCTTCAACAAGGCCACACCATTTAAGAACTCGTTAATTTTGTTTTGTTTTTTATCATTTATTGAACTCATGGCAACAATCTTTACAACGTTACGAATTTGTTTTACAATTCATCAGTTCATGTATAAACAGTACCGTTAAACAGTATGGAATATTTTGCAAAATGTAGTTTAGAACAGTTGCCTAAAGTAAGTGGCTATATTTACACTAGTGAGTGTAAAACTTTTTTATTTTTTTTATTTTATTTTTTTTATTGGTTCCCAGGATTACAATGTCATGATATGTAGAACAGTGATGTACAGACAGATGGATGATGTACAGGTATCAATATCATGTTAATACACATTTATAAGTCAATAAAAGAGAAATATGACCTCAGGTAAATTGGGTACATTTTAAATTCATCAAAGTACTGGGAAGAGAAGGCCCCATTTATGATTGAAATCTTCTATTTTATTAATTCTTTTGCATATATGGTTTTCCACAAAGAATATTTCTTTCAAAGTTTTTATAAATAGAGCTATGTTTGGATGCGTATTTTTAATACTGCATATGTAAATGTGTCTTTTTGCTGCAATGGTGATGTGATTTAGTAATATATTATGATGTAGAGTACCAAACCAAACCATATGTTTTGATAATAGCAGTGGATGAGGGTATAAATTGTTAAGCCAGATTTGCAGGTTTTTCCAAAAAGTTTGTGTCTCCTGACATTCCCAGTACACATGACAAACACTCTCATTTAGATCATGTGTATGTGCGGCTGCTTGTACTAGCCCAGACTGAAGCTGGTTTTATAGTGCTAGCCCACTGAGATACCATGCCGCAGTGAAGCATGAATACCCCAGTCAGACACATTATACTGACTCCGAGCCGGCCAGTCCTTGTTGTACCCATTAATGCCGAGCGCCAGACAGGGACCAACAAGTACCATATTTTAACGTCTTTTGGTATGACGCGGTCGGGGATCGAACCCACGACCTTCCGCTCTCCGGGCGGACGCTCTAACCACTACATCACGGAGGCGGTCAGAT